GCAAAGGACAAAGCTCCCTACAAGGATAAAGTATGAAAATGTCTAAAACCACAAATATTTTATTAACAATACATTTACTAACTTCACTCTTTAACTAAGGAAGTAAACAGGATGTAAATACTTCTACATTTCTTGATCCAAACACTTTCTACTAAAAATTCTCAAATTCTAAAACATGAAATGCCAAAGTAAAAATTCTCCGGATCAGGACAAAGAGACGAAATGAAAACAAAGCATAGTATTTGTTTTCTTTAATACCAACAAAAACAACTTAAAACAGTCCTTTTGATCATGGGTACATTTATTTCCTCCATGTTACACATATAATATATTTATGTACATATTGCTAGCTAAAGCATCAAAAATGTCAGGAGCGTAGAAAAACGTGAAGCCACAGTTTAAACATTTGGACAAAAAAAAAAAAGAGACCGGTTCAGATCTGTCGAGTTGGACCTTTTTGGAATCCTGGGACGTACAAATTAATCTCATTGTCATATTGCAATTTGTACAAGTTAAAGGGGACATAGTTTTCGACATGCAAGTTTTCGACCCCCGACATTACAGTAGCGATGGATGGACAAATATAAAAAACAGAAAAAGCTACGGCCTCTGAGTCACAGGGAGGAAGGAAAAGTGTGAGAAATGCTTCAAAAACAGTAGTATAGCTGTTAGCGTATACAACTAATGTCCATATTATGTCGTAGAGAACAAAAAACAGGCTGCGTTTTGCCTTTTGACCCGACATGAGCTGCCATAGAAGTTTGAAAGAATTGGTTTAAAAAAAGTGAGATTTTTAGGAGTATCAAGTTATGTTTTTTCTGAGTAATCTCACATCAAATTTCATTCAAAATAGCTTTAGATTTGAGTCGTCCTCGATCTTAGTTTCACCTTTTTGTCTGATTCTGAAAAAGGGTTAAAATTGAAATAGTTTTAACGTTGAAAAAAATAAAATGCCCAAGAGATATTGAGACGTCGTCAATTCATTTAGATTTAAAAGTAATCGGAAAACAGCCTCGACACGGTTTGATTTCAGATTCCCAGATGTCATGAGACCGTAACAACTCATAACGAGGACAATTTACGGTCAACTCTGAAAAGGAGAGGACCGAGAATGAACGTAACTTTCAAACCACACAAAAAATAACTAAAATAAATGCCATGTCACTCGTTCCTCCTATCCCCAGTTCATGTGTGTCATTGTGAGCTGTAAATAAACTAATCTAAATAAGTTAGAAAAGGGAATTTGGGGGCCGCCCAAAAGCGTCAAATATCTCACATGGTTCTTTCTCACAAGTTCTCAAAAGATTCCATGATATCTAATAAGACAACGTCAGAATGTTGAGTCTGGTAAACAAAAAAAACACATAATTATTGGACTTCTATCAGACTGGATTGTGGAAAAACGACATGGATCATCAATGGGAAAGAAAAAAGTGTTATTTTATGTGTAAAAAAGTGTAATTTTGTTTAATATTAGCCCGAGCTCAGACACTATAAGTCTTCCCCATGAGTTTAGAGAATTGTCAAAAAATTTAAGTTTCAGAGCAAACTCCTTTATGTAGCAGAATAATCTGGGAGTCTGAACAAACAGTGATAATTTTGGTTGGGATTAATACTTTTAAAATTGTGACAAAAACAAATCTCCAAAATGCTGCAATTTCCCTTGTTCTTTCCTCAACTCTGTACGTTAAAATGAGTTTCTGTGAGACCTTTGCAGACACATGTTTAAGCAGCATAAATACAAGATTAATAAAAAACACACAAAATGAACCATTTAGAAAAACAGCGGTTTAGTTCGATCGAAGTGAAACCAAAACGATACAAAGAAAATGGACTCTTTGATTGTAAGTTGTGTCCAGAAGTGAGTGATAAATTAAAGGAGCAGTGACTCAGAGGCCGAGGCTGGTCGTATTTACACTCAGCTTTATACAAATCGAGAACTTTCATCCAAAATGTCAGATTTACAAAATGTTCAGAAACCAACAAGCGAATATTTACATTCCGAGCAGCCACAGAATGAAAAGGAGGAGAAGAGGAAGAGTGTGAGTTATTTTGGCGATAGTTTCAGAGTTTTTTTTACCACACGGTTTTGGGGGTTTTTCACCTAATTTGTCTTTTTGTTTTCAACAAGAAAAAATGTCCATCGAGAATTTTAACAGTGATGTAACAAAAATGATGATTCATATTATGAGGTAAAACACAGAGTAGGAGAGAGGGAGAGAGAGAGTAGGGGAGAGATAGACTTAGAGGGAGAGAGACAGAGACTTAGAGAGAGAGTAGGGGAGAGACAGAGATACAAGGATAGAGGCTTAGAGAGAGAGAGGCAGGGAGAGAGAGACAGAAACAGACAGAGAGACAGAGGCAGTGAGAGAGAGACAGAGAGAGAGTCGGACAGAGTGAAACAGAGATAGAGGCTTAGAGAGAGAGACAGAGATAAAGGCTTAGAGGGAGAGAGACAGAGTCCGAGAGAGAGACAGAGAGATAGAAACAGAGACAGAGAGTGAGACAGAGGCTTAGAGAGAGACAGAGATAAAGGCTTAGAGCGAGACTGAGACAGACAGAGAGAGAGACACACACAGAGTCCGAGAGAGAGATAGAAACAGAGAGAGAGAGACCGAGTCAGAGAGAGTGTGAAACAGAGAGATAGAAGCTTAGAGGGAGCAAAACTGAGACAGAGAGAAAAAACTATTAAAGCTGGGGTACTCAACTTTCCAACCATAAAATAGAATCCATGTAACTAGTCGCTCCTCTCGTTCATCTAGATCATCTTTTTCAGACAGAAAAGTGAGAAAGAGGACCACCCTCCCTCAGCCAATCAGCTCTCAGCACACAGTATGTAACAGATAAAGATCAAATGGAATAAGACAAAAACGGCATGTGGCCTGATTTGTTCGGATTGTTACTTTTACAAGATTGTTAAAAAGGTATTATCCATGAACAAAATTAAGATACCCCAGCTTTAAAAAACAAAAAAAACGTACTATATATATAAGTAGACACAATAGACATTTAACTACAGTCACTTTACTGCCCTGTTAAATGTCTATTGTGTACCTAGTGTCCTTATCTATGGTAGAAATAGTAAATATATGCATTTTTTTTTTAAACTTAAAATAAATGTATGTATGCCTTATATGTATTTTAACTTTATAACTTGAGCCAAAGCAGATTTTGAGTGACTTCCTGTTACTTACAACGCTAATAAAAATAATTCTGATTCTCTTTCGCACATTTTATATCGGTCCATCCATGTCGTATTTAAATCCAGATCAGAGTCAAGTTTTTGTACATGCGTTTCTGGCATCGGGGAAGTAAACATTTGGAGACACCGAGAGGCACTGAGCTAAGGTCGTCGTAGCAACAGTCATCGCAAAATGGGCAAAAAAAATGCTATAGAAAAAAAGACAGAAAAAGACATGGTTTTTTTTGCACCTCGGTAAAACAGAAGAAAGGATCACATTTAAGACTGGAGGGAACACGGAGCAAAATAATAATATCTTAAAAAGGTAGGTTCAGTTGTTGTCGGGGAAGGGAAAGAAATTACTTGTTTTCTGTAAAAATGAAAAATAAAACATGAAAAAATACATTGGTTTTTTAATTAATTAAGGTTTTTTTTATGTTGCTTTGAGAGAAAAAGAGAGAAAAAAACTACTTTCTCATAGTATTTTGCCGATGGGACAAATACAAAAATAATCTATTTTAAAAAGGTACATTGCGCAACTTTTCTGACCAGTTTCTGCAATCCCACCTGTTACCATGGAGATCTGTAGAACTTAACCTGAATTCTTGCATTGGGTCGGATGTCCTGTCCGCAGAAACTACCTATAAGTGAAGTCACTTTGTATCCTCCCTGCAGGTGGATTCCAATGTGGTTTTACTGCAAATGGCAAATAAATCTGATTTTGTTGCTTGTCGTCTCCGGTTGGATATGAAGAAGCCAGACTGTATCCATCTCGTAGACAAATTTTATATCTGTCAATCCATATAGTGTCGGGGAAGTAACAGCTTTCCAGACAAAACAGCGATATTAAGACAGACCGAAGCAACAATATTTTTTCCCGGGAAAGTTGCGCACTGCACCTTTAAGATCAGGCAAAAACAAATAAAACAGCTAGGCTTTAGTTTAAAAACAGAAGCGGTTATTTCTGTTGTCAATTTAGACTTCAAAGCGGTTAAATTTCTCTCAAAACACTATCTTTTTTTCCTAATTCAAGCAAAAATTTAATTGTGGTTTGTAACTTTTAGCATTTTTAACCAAATGCCCAGTTTAAGCCCAATTCTATCCATTCTATACTCATCGTCTATTCTAAATAATTTGTTTTGGGAAACAGCTGTGTGAGAAAAATGTGGAAGCAGAGATCGTAATCAACTCATAATCCATTAAAATGTGTATAAAAAACGCAAGAAGCTTTCGTTTAAAAGTCAAACTGTGCATAAACGTAACATTTGGAAGATTTTGATTCTCGTCGTCTTTTCAAACCCTGTATCCAATAAGAGACGTCGATTTTTAGGTAGAACAATAAAAAGGTGCTTTGACCAAAAACATTCAGGGGGAAAATTTCAAAAATGCAAAAAACGCAAATATCTTTTAAATCTGCGATAATTTTTCTTTTCTAAGAATGCAAAGCAGGTCGAATGCCAGATAGTGCTAAGGTCGAGAGGTTACAGTGAGGAGAGAAGAAGAAGAAAAATTCACATCATAAAACAGTTAATGCTTTTTTTTGTCCTCCGTCACACTTAAATAAACTCTGGCCATGTTTCCAGACGACAGAAACAGAAACGTCTTCGTCCGCGGCAAATATAGAAATCTTAACAAAAACATGGTTAGATTAAATATGAAAAAGGGGCAAAAACGTGGCGGGTCCAGACTGTTTTGTTTTTTTCCGGAGAAGTGAAAGAGAGAGTGAGTGACCGGAGGGGAGGGGTCAACGGGCAGGTGGGCGGGGCCTGGCTGTGTGGAGAGGAGAGGGGGGGCGGGGCGTATGGAAAGGGGGAGGGGCTCATCTCTTCCGTCGACAGGTGCGCTTGTGGTCGGCGTGCCAGTGCTCCTGCTGACACTTGATGGAGCAGTAGGACGTGTTCCAGCAGCAGTGGTACATGGCCTCCTCCTCACAGTTGTAGCACTGAAAACCACCACAGCATTACGTTATTAAATGTGCAGTCAGTGATTTCTTCAGACGCATTTTTTTAAATATTGTGGGAAAACGTCCCTAAACCCTAAAAGTAGTGAAGTTATCATGTGTTTTCAAATAGTAATGGAATCGACCAGATGCTTTTATAGTCTACAAAAATTAACAAAAAACATTTTGGAGCGAACTGATGAAACTAAACCATGGATCTATAATATTAACTGGATAGAGTATTACTAGCTTATAGCTGTCCCACCCACAGGGGGCGCCCGTGGTACTGCTGACTAAATTCACGAGGGCTACCCAGAAAAAAGTCCCATAGAACTCAATGTAAATTAAAACAGCTCGACCTCAGCTGACAGAGAACCTGACAGAGAGCCTACAGCTTTCATAAATATCGGATTTTGTGGGGATTTTAGTGTCCCTTGTCATCCTGAACTTTTTTTCTTTCTTCTTCCGGTCTCCGTGAAGTCCCATGCGCTACTGAGCACAAGCCATTCATTTGAATAGGGCGCCATCTTGGATCACCGGGGCTTGAACTAAACCAATGGGATGCATTTACCCCCTTCACCCTCTTCCCGTTTCTCGCGAGTGCACCTGAGTTATTGGATTTTCTAAAACCTAAAAGGGCTGAACAGAAAATGCCAATTTCACGTTTGCCGCCCACTCTCCCTGTGACAAAGAAAAGTTTAGTTTGGGGAGGGTCTGTTGGGCGGTCGGGGGGAGGGCATGGGCAGGATTGTTTTTTAGCCAAACTGTAAAGCACTTTGTGTTGCATCTGTTGTATGAAAAGCGCTTTATAAATAAACTTTGATTGATTGATTGTTTAGTTTATTAATGGGATGCCCCTTGACATATGCCATCTTATTTTTGAGGGGTCCATAAACACAAAAAACAGATTACAATTGACAAAAATACAGGACAGTCACACACAAAACAAACTTGCTCCGTCGTCCTCCCAACCCTTCCAAAATATCCAGACATAATTCTAAACATGAAGAAAAAAAATGAACAAAAAAATGCTGGATGTTTGGTTTGGTGAAGAGTGAGGGGAGGGGGGAGTGGTTTCCAGTTGGTGCTACGGCTAAGCTAACAACATTGCTGGAAATTGGGCCGGAAATTGCGATTTGAGTCTGCGATATACAGAAATGACAAGACAGTCCTTTACTATGGGCTCCACATTCACGAGCAAAAATTTTATTGTGTGTTTTATGTTGTGTATTGTAGGTTGTGTGTTGTGGTACTGACCCACTGCTTCTTCTTGGTTTGGGAGATGAGCTGTTTGTGCTGCGACACCAGTTTCTTCACCTCCTCCACCAGCTCCTCTTTGCTCTTGTCTTTCACCTGTTTGCACTTTCGCTCCATCTCGGCCTGGACTCCGCTCAGAGCTTTACTGACCGCCTGCCGCTTCTCCTCCTCCATCTCCGCTCGCAGCTGAAACAACGGGAAGAGCGCCACTTTAGATTTGAATAACAACTTCAATTGCGAGAGGCATAATGTCAAAAAATAGTAAAAAAATCTAAATCAAACCAGAAATCTTAAATCAGCAATTACAAAGACAAGAAAGTGCTTGTGCCCAGAACCCACACATCCTCTATCTTTTACATTAAAATGTACACACAATTACTTGCAGCTGAAGAGTTAGTGACAGCAGTAAAATCGGTGTGTGTGTGTGTGTGTGTGTGTGTGTGTGTGTGCGTGTGTATGTATGTACTGTATGTGTGTGTGTGTGTGTGTGTGTATGATGAGTGTGTGTGTGCTCAGACCTTCTCCAGCGCCTCCCGCACCACTCTCTCGGTCTCTCGCTTGTTGTCGGCCTTCATCATCTCCTTGACGTCGTTGAAGACCTTGGTGTACTTCTCGTGGCACATGTTCTGGCAGGCGCCGTCGCTGCTGGTCTGCGTGCCGCGGTGCAGGGTCCGCGCCGAGCCCCCGCTGCCCTTCTTGGTCTGCGTGGACACGGACAGCTTCTCTGGCTGAGGCCCCGAGGACACGGGGACCTCCTGACTGGAGCTCACCGCCTCCATCTCCGGCTCCGGCTCCTGCGACATCACAAGATAAGATAAACTTTATTGATCTCACAATGGAGAAATTTACATCACAACAGACGAGAGCGAGGTCATAAGCTTTTTATGCTAGAATTAAAGATTTTAGTTCATTTGATTCTATTTAAGTACAGAGTTATTATTCGTTTATCTAGTGTTGTGTGCTCCTCATTCCTACTGTTCTGTAACTTGTGATGCAACACTGACATTTCCCCACAGTGGGACGAATGAAGGATCTCTTAATCGTAATGTATATTTATCAGTGTAGCTCCAGGTTGGAATGAATCACATTAAAAGCTGGAGAAGAAAAAAATACAAGAGGAATGAGTGCATATGATACAGGGATCAGAAATGGGTGGTAAGAATAGTATAGTCGTATGGTATTACTATTGTTATACCATCACTGTGGTGCATTTTACATCTGGATAGTTGTTTCTGAACCAAGTATTATTCGAAATTTCCAAAATATTTCCAAAAGCAATACAATCTTTATCAGGGCCCACAAAATCTATTTCTAATTCCAGGTTTTCCGTGACTGTATGAATCAATTAGACGTCACTTTTCCAATTTCTGTTGACGCCTGAAAATGACAAAAATTTTCCAAAGGAGAAAAGACGGCACCAGATCTGCTGCTGAATGGATCTAACAGTGATCGAATATAAGCTTCATCTCAATATACTTTCTCATTTCCTGTAAAAGCCAAATGTTATGTGTGATGTCACATCACATCAGCCCCGTCCTACTGTACGGTCTGTGTCCAACTCACACTGGATTCTTCTTTGGCTTCGACAGACTGAGTTCGACGGCTTTTCTTGGCTTTGGGCTCGTGGCTTTTGAGCTGAAACAGAGAAAGTAAGATTCACAACATAATTTTTTTTTATCAGGCTGCACGTTTAAATCCAATTTTTGTTTACACATTATATTGCAGACAAAAATTGACTAATAAAAGGCCGAAAAAAAACGTTTCTGTTGCTTTGAATTTATAAGTACCTTTAGTCTTTTTGCTCATCCAAAATAACACAGTCCAGTGTTTATAAAAACTGTCAAAATGCTGACAATGATCATGATCATTTAGTGAATATAGATTAACAAAACTATAGGTTAGACATGAGTGGAAATGATATATGATTAACTAACAAAAAATATGACTATGCTGGCCCCGGGAAAAGCCATGTTCCAGCTTCTTCCCTCTGGTTTTACTGCAAATGGCAAATATAGTGAATCTGAATCTCATGCATTTGCAGAGTTATATGCTACGGAGCTTGTGTGAAGGACTCACATGGCGGACCTGTTCGTTGCTGGTGGAGGTGATGCTGGACTCTGGCTCCTCGGCTCGTGCTCCTCTCTCCTCCTCCTGCTGCTCCTTCTGCTCTTTCTGCTGCTGCTGCTGTTGGTGGTTGTGGTGGTGGTGGCTGGAGCGTGCGGCGGGCTGCTGGCTCCCCGCCTCGTCCATCTTGGTCTTCCACAGTCGTCCCTCTCGTAGGAAGCGCTGGTAAAGCTCCAGCTCCTCGCACGCCTTCTTCCAGCTGGTGCTGCGCTTCACCTGCAGCTGCTGCACGCTCACTTTGATGTCCTGGATGTTGTCCGCCGGGATCCACGCCCTGGGGACACACACAAACCGTTCCAATCTTGTTGTTTGGAGAAAAAATTAATAAATACACAGCTCGTCAGCGTCTCTTCTTTCTGTGGTAACTTGTTGAATTTATCACAACCTCTAAGATTCAGCGTAACTTTTATATATTTATTTTATTTTGAAAATTTGCCTGTTTCTTTTGTGACTGTGGTACGGTAACATCACAGTCAAAGAAAGGATAGCTCTAAACAAGGTGAGGGACCAGAGAGAGACCAGAGAGAGGTGCTCCATTCTGAAAGAGAAATGTGAGCTTCCTGTTCTGAAGGTTCCTAAAACGAGAACTCTTCTGGCCCCTGGAAAACGCCATGTTCCAGCTTCTTCCCTCTGGCAGAAGATATCGTTTGCTGAGATGCAGGACATCTGGGTATGCTAACAGCTCACAAACTGGAATCAGTCTGAACACTTATCTAAACTTTTTCAGTGGATTGGTTTCACAGTGACAAATGTTTCTTGTACTACGTAGGTTAGACATGAGTGGAAATGACGTACAAGGAAATTGTATAATTAACTAACAAAAAATATGACTGTACTGGCCCCGGGAAAAGCCATGTTCCAGCTTCTTCCCTGTGGTTTTACTGCAAATGGCTACCTCTGGTGCTGGTGTCCAAAGAAGCGCACGTCGGCCTGGTTGTCGTCTCGCTGCAGCACTTTGGCCGGCCAGTACCCAAAGCCCTTCATCTTCGCCCATACCAGGTCATGACTGGGACTCTGGAAAAGCAGCAGCAAAGACTCACATTATTCCCTTTTGTCCAGTGAGTGAGTGAGTGGTATTTATTTAGCTCTTTGTTTATTTTCTTGTATTTCTGTACTCACACATGGGTAACAGAACCAGTTGTCGGGCCGCGCGTTCGAAAGGTAGAAACAGTTTTTACACAATAATAACTCGTTCAGCTGCAACAGAGAAATCAGAGAGAAATGTGGTTAAAGGAGGAGGGTATTTGGTCATCTGCCTCTTATGGACAAACGGTTCTGTGTTTATTATTATCATTGAATTACTTGTGTTTCACCATTGTAAAGTCTTCTGAGATAACTACTGTTGTGGTTTAGGCTACACAAGAATAAATTGAATGGAAAATTTTTTATAACATGTATCCTTGTATAAACAGGTTTGTGTCTATCCAACTCAAGTTAAAGCGGTAGAATTTAGTTGCTGAGAGGGAGTGAATACTTATGCGCATGTGCTATTATTTAGACCACTTATTTTTATTAATATTTCTTTTTCACATCGTCCTTATAGGGCAGAGGTGTCCAAACCAGTCCAGAAAGAAAACTTGCAGCTACAGCGGCCCGATCAGACCCAGCAGGAGCACAGCAGACTCCACCCATTTCCTCAAGTAAGCTCAGTCTAAAGCCTAGTGTATACTGGCGCGGAGCTTACGCGTTGGTCACCGCAAGGCCCTTACGTTGCCTGCCGCGCAGCATCTACATTTTCTAACTACGTAAGGGTCGCCGCAAGGAAGCTCCGCTGTGATTAGTCCATGTGTGTGTTTTGGGGGGAAGCATGAAGCGGCTGCAGCAGGGACAATCAATAGATCTATGTGGACAATGGACGAGGCACTATGGAGCAGAGAGCTTTGTGCTTCGAAGGAAACGAAGAAAAAGCAGTTTGAGTTCAGAGCCTGATATACGGGGAGACTGTGGACTATCTAACATATATATAACTTATAAACTGTGCAGTCGTTTGTTTTGCACTGTTCCTGTCTTGTCTGAATCTGCACTCGTAGCTTATTGCGTCTGTTCCATTCCTCCTGCACTTATAAATAGTTCATGTTTGCCACAGATATTTACCATTTATTGTTTTGCTGTTTGTGCTGAATACAATTTAATAATAACTATGTTTCCAACAAGAACTGTGTCTTTATTCACAACATCACAGTTAAATGAGTTAATAAATAATGAGTCCATAGAACTATCCCATAAACCTACAGTAGAAACACATGTAATGATCTCAAACAGCTTGGTTTGTTCATGTTTTGTTCTGAAGAGGAGAAAGTAGCAGCGTAAATGAGACCGCTTTGGTATCTCAAGCAACTCCTGTGAGATCGCCATCGTGTGGTTGGTTGTGCGATTACAACATTCTCCTCAAAACTCTGCAAGGAGTATAAATTCAATTGTGCTTGCGTAGGTTCACCGCAACCGCTAACGTAAGCAGCGCCGCGCAAGTATACACCATTTTATTTATTTATTTGGGTTTTAAAAGGAGGTACAATGCATATTAATGAACATTTAACCAATGTAAATATTCCAGATTATAGCCTAAGGCTAATTTCCATCTGCAGACCCCCCTGGCAGGTTGATGTTAACGACAAACATAAAAAAACAAGACATAATAATACACACAATAATACACTAGGCTTTAACCTGATGATTTTAGGAATGGGAGGAGTCTGCTCTGCTCCTGCTGGGTCTGATGGAAAACCTGCAGCCACAGCGGCCCTTTCTGGACACCTCTGTTATAGGGTATTGCGAGTAGATTGACAAGGTTGATGCATATTGGTATCAGGCTGTAGTATTGCATTGAGTTTTTGCTCGCGGAGGTTCTGAGGACAGTGGTTATAATCCAGGACACTCAACATTCAACATTTATGGACTATATCAACATTTACCCCACACTGGGGGACTTTTGCACATGTACTCCAATGTGGTTTTACTGCAAATAGCAAATCAACTGAATCTGAAATGTACAAAATAGTTTCTGAATGGGCTTTTTTAAGTTTTTCTTGTTGTGGAATCTTTTAAAACATGTGACCTGGGATCTAGAGTTAAAATATACTACGACTACCAAGACTACCATTCCCACTCCCTTACCTCGTGGCATGTGTCGCTGTAGAGAAGCCGTGCAATTTCCGCCTGGTCGCTGTGAACTGCGAAGTCAAACCGTGAATGAGGTCAGAAGTGTCCACTGTGTTTTGCCTCTACACACATTGGTCTCACTCACCGCCGTATAAGATGGCCGTGTTGTGAACGATGAGCCGAGCGTCTGCTTTGAACTCGTCGAAATTTTTATAATTTCCTTCCGACAAACTCTGATCAAACAGACAAGAAATAAATAAATACTTTTGAGTTTGGCGTGCAATACTGCGGCTGTCCACTAGGTATCCTTGTACCATTCAGAAAGGCCAGTCAATCAAATACATTTCATTCAATAGAAAATCTATCGTATAATCGTATAAGCAACAACTGTCTACGCTTTCTTTTAGTTTTCTTTGTTCATTTTAACTGAGAGCAGTAAGTATATTAGGTTATATTGTTGATCCATCATATTTTTCTGAAGTGTGAACTCCAATTGGTTTTGACAGTTCCTCCGAGGCACAACTTTAAGCCAAAAATATCAGACTTTGTCCCTGAAAAGTAAAATTCACAAAACCTCAACAAACACAGACATGGATATATGGATTTAAAACTTTAGGACCTTAAAAATCTGGTACCTATATATTTAAAAGAAAATATTAATACATTTTGTTTATCCCAACATAAAGTATTTTAAAAGTAAAATGTTGACGCTTTAGGCTGAGAGCTCCTTGGTCCTCTCTTTTTCACTTTTTGACCTGAAAAAGTTGAATTGAAGATGGAAAAATACAGAGGCAGAGGCATGTGACATTTTTGTTGTGGTTTTAAAGTTAAGCATCAAGTAGCAATTAGCATTTTTAATTGCACATAATATATCCTGCACAGACTATATTTTTTGTGTTTAACATGTTTCACACTTCTGTCTTTGGCACAATCTGACTGATTCTATCTGTGCTAAATGTGACATGTACATTTCTCCTGTGTGAGATCAATAAAGTTTATCTTATCTTAAAGCTGCAGTACCTATTTATGACCAGACATTATCTGTCCTTACAGTTGCCTCTCCAAGAACGTGTACAGTACACACACTGCGAAAAATGATAAAATATGGAGGTAATAATTACTTGAATCAGTAATCAGTAGTTTTTATCTTAATCTGAGCACATTCTGACTGTGTTAAAACAAGATTTGCAAATGGGACAAAGCCATTTAGCCTTATTTCAAGAACCTTGCCTATTTTCTCATTCCAAAGGGAGACATTTCTTAAATCTTTTTAATTGGCAAATCTTTTAATTATTTTAGTAATTTTTGGTTTAGGGCAATTTATTTTTTATAACTTTTGCAATGCGGCAGGAACATAGTCTTCTAAATTCAAAGAAAGTCAAGTTCGTGAAACCTCTTGAATGTTGACTACGTCGAGCGGCGTGTGGATGAGTCTTCTGTACATGGGATGTTTGGTGTCCTTGCCCTTCTTGTGTAGGTCCACCGCCTGCAGATGGAAAAGGGGAAACCAGTTTGAGTGACGCTAAATATAGGCCATTGCAGAGGAGCCTGGAGGAAAAGCTGACACCACTGAAAGAGATCGAGGAGGCTTTGAGTCCAAGAGAGGAAATAATTCACAAAACCATTCTGAATAAACCCCATTTTAAATACAGGCTCAATTTTAAATCATGGAGAAAAGTGTAAAGTTTGAGGAGAAAGTCCATTCTTACCCGTTCTTTCATTCGCTGGATGATAAAACGCAGGTATTTGCACATCTCCTGTTTGTTGAGAATCTTCTTTTTACTTCCCTACAAACAACAACATGCAATTCATGCAACACAATTCTTCAAGTGGAATGAAAGAAAGAAAAATGCATTTACTTAGTGTTGGTCTCATCTGACCATCTCCTATTCCATCTAGTGATAGAAGTGGGAAATTACAGTCTGTTTTTTAAAATATTTATCATATTAGTAATTAGACTGTTTTAATAGTAAGAGATCGTAGCACATTTGGAGCATTTAGACAATATACTATGTTTTCATATTTAAATACATTGTTTCTATGTTGTGTTTTATTTGTGTGCAGCACTTTGGTCAAATGTGTCGTGTGACAATATCTTGTCCACTGAAACTTTTAGCACATACCCTCATGCTGCTAACATGTACAGTAGCTTCAGTATAAACATTTTAACTCTCAGAGCTGATGAGTTACTTTCCTAATATTCTTGCACAAGAGCAGGGGGGGGGGGTCAAACCAGTCCTCAAAGAGCTGGGGAGCACACCAGACTCCACCCATTTCCTCAGATGAGTCCAGTTTTACCCTGAAGATTTGAGGAGATGGGTGGAGTCTGCTCCACTCCAGTTGAAACTAAAACCTGCAGCCACACCGGCCCTTTCTGGAACCAGTTTGTCATCCCTGCACTAGAGTGTACTACAGATGAATCTACAAATGTATATATCCGAGTACATAGTTCATTCACAATAGTATGCAGTTTTTTATACTTTGTGTCTAATTAAGCTAAAGATATAGATTGTATTGTATTTTTCCAGAGTATAGGGTGCTATATGTAATATCCACTAACTTGTGCTGTGTGCTCCTCATTCCTGTTCTAAAACTTGTGATGCAACACTGAATTTTCCTCACTTTGGGACAAATAGAGGATCACTTTATCTTAATCTATTCGTAACCTCACAAAAACCTGACCTAGTAACTTCACAGGTGAGGTGAAGGGGGCAGATGATACGTGGAAATCTCCAGAGACTTTAAAATGTCAAGCCTAAAAATGTTCCGCGCGGCCGAGGAGAGGTACCTGGCTCTTTATGAGAACGTTATGGGACAAAGGGGTGCATGAGGTGTTTCTTGTCCCTGCAGAGGCCTTACCCTGCAGATGGTACACTGCCAGTGCGAGCCGGGGTCCCGCGGCCGGCACTCGTCCGACAGACACTTGATGTGGTAAACCCGGAAGCAGTTGTCGCAGCTCAGAACGTCCCCAGGGAGGTGACACTCAAAGCAGTACCAGTCGTGGCTCTCCGTCTCCCAGTCCTGCACAAGACACACAGAGCTCGAGTGACCCCCCGTCGAGCCGGGAGGACAGGGCACTGGTGGATCCTCAGGCTTAAGGATCTAAAGGAGCAGCCACACACACACACAAACACACACACTGTACTCTTGCTATTTTCACACTGCACCAAAAGAAATCATGTGTTAAACAGAACCTGACATAAACTTAATGTTGGGGGGTCATCTGCCTTTGGGTATGCATTAATTTATGAATAGATTAACATTGTACATATAGCGGCGTTATTCTTTAAAGGAAACAGAAAGCAAATCTGACATAGAATTGAATTTAAACATACAACAAAAAAGTCCATTCATGCCAATATCAGGAACTTCAAGCACAGACATGTAACTCCGCCCCTTCTGACTAAATGCTCTCCTCTAGAATAGTAGGATGTCATTGTACCACTAGGACATTACAATCAGAGCAGTGTTCTTTCCTTTAAAACCAAAGTATTGTCCATAAATTAGCAAAAAATAACTGAAATGACAATCCTTTACAATTGCAGACTGTGTTTGCAGCCAGTAATTTTAAAATTTGGAAAAAATTCAACTCCTTCCTCGGGTGGGAGCATGGGAGACATTTTTTTCCTTCATATAATGCCAAGTCTCATACACCACAGAGTCAGCTCAGACAATTAAACAATTAGATGTTTATGTTTCTCACAATTATCATGAGAAATATTTACAGTTGTGCTCGAAAGCGAACAGTAGTCTCTAAAACACTGACTGTCCACAGATGCCAACGCTAACACAGACTTTCTAAGATGTATAAAGTCTGTGTTAATTAAATATAATGAATTATATTTCTAATTTAGGAAATATTGATTCATGTTTAAAAGCTCAAACGTAATACATTACTACTAATCCTATTGCTGTATTTTTACCTTTCTTTAAAACAATTCCATGTTGGTTTCTGATGAGGGAATATGATTGTAAATATAAATATAAAACATACATTTGTTTTTATTTTGTATATTCATATTGTGAAATCCATGACCAATCATTGTTTTATTAAAAAGGTAAACCCATTGCTATTTGTCGGTGCAACCATCCCAAAAAGCCCTGGTTTAAACACATTAAACTAAAGAGATATTAAGCCACGATCAAAATATGTTTTTGCTGAACTACATCAGGATCAGGTACAGGGTCTTTTTGTGAGTAAATAGTAACAGATCCAAGGGCTGCCGTGCTCTCCCGGTCTGGACAAGTCCTAACTGTGTCGGCAGAAGCAGCTGGCTCCAAACTAAACATTTAACATGGACTCCCTTCACACACAGAGCCGTGAATGGGACTCAACCAAAGGGAGAAAGAGCTGGGACTGATTCTGTCATGACAAGTTTAAAACCTTATCACAGTGAGGACACGGACGATAACACGGGAAAGAACAGTTATAACTAGTATTGGATCTGAAAGTATTACTACATCTTGAATTTAAGGACTCCATTCCTCATTGGAGATGCAAGTGGAACCCCATAGCCCAATGTATTTAGAGCTCATTTGTTTTGATGTAGTTGGATCAATATCAGAAAACACAATATTTTTTATTTTTTGCCTGCGAGTGCCTAATTGATGCTGAGAGCTGATTGGCTGAGTGAGGGTGGCCCCATTTTCACTTTTCCAACTGAAAAAACTGATCTGAAGATGTGACAGAGGTCAAAAATACATGTATGTGGAAACTAGTAATAGAACCAAACTGCTTTAGAGCCAGGAACTGGTTAAATCAGTTGAATTCTTAAAAATGGGCTTCTTGTGATTGAAAAACGTTTAGATTAGTGAATTGTTTGTGTCATAGACTGACTATGTGTGCTCTCTGTCATTTCTCTAAACGTAGAAACCGCAAAACACGGTTGTAGCTGAGCTGAATTGACCAGTGTAGTTTTTGTGAGATGATTATCAGTGTGGGAGCAAAGCTGGAGTAAATATTTGCCAAGTTGCTCCAAGGACAGAAGGTGTAAGAGCGTCAGTTGTACATAAATATGAACCATAGAATAACCAGTTCATTGTGAGCCCAATTTTCACAGGGATTTGAGAAGCCGGTTTTCTCGAGATATAATATGTATATTTTATAGTAATAACATGCTGTAATGTTATATTAATTTTTGGTTTAAAAATGCAGAAAAAGACTCGGCATAGCAAAAAGTGATGAAAAATAAGTATAAAATGTCTCAAATTTGGCAAAATGTATCTTAATTTGAGCACATTTCTTAAAACAAGATTTGCCAATGGAACAAAGCAAAATTATCTTGTTTTAAAATATACAAGAAATGCGTCAATTGGAATGAGAAAATTTATCATTTATTTACCTCATATTATCATTTTTTGCAGTGTGTCCAATATGTCATAGTCTAGGGATTCATCATAGTGAACAGATTTAGGCAGAAGGGGCAGGGAGAGGTGTTTATTCTGAAAAAGATTCGTGCTTTGAAGGTCCTGGTATTAGCTTGGATAGGGCAACCTTGTAAAATTATTGAAATACTTGTTTTGACGATAACTTTCAGAAATCAATAACAACATTTTCACGGTCAGTTTATTTAGTCATTGTCCATTTTGTTGGTAGATTCAGGTATACAAAACAGTGACCTATTTATCCACCTAGTAATAGTGAAACAAAGATGCATGCCAGAAAGAGTTAAGAACACAGCCACATCCTCAGAGATTAGATCTACCATCAAAACCAACACACGCACACATGCTCACCAACAACCTGCAAACGTCTCCCGAACAGAAAAGACAAGAATCAGTAAATAGGGAAAAAGTGCTCCTGGTGATTAAATTTATCATCCATCCTCCATCCACTGATGCTGTGTAAGCAGAAGTGTGTGCAGTATCAGTAGCAGACAATGGGGATGTTAAATGACACTGCACTTCCAGGTCCTTCCCTACGCTAACACTGCTGCAACACTTCTGTCCTTCCCTTCATTTTGTTTTTCTAGCAGTTGATGCTAACTAAGGCTAACGTTATGCTGTAGTTATGCTAACAGCTGTTAACTAGACCAGACTAACATTAGCTCACACTGTCAGTTCAAGCCACTTCATTCTTATATTTTCATCTAGTCTGGTTAAATATAAATGTGTTTTAGTTAAAAGCTAACACTGCTACAACAGTCATTTGTCCTCTCCTTCAATTGTTGATGCTAACTGAGGCTATCATTATGCTAACGTTATGCTAACAGCTGTTAACCAGACTAGACTAACATTAGCTCAAGTTATCAGTTCAGTTTAATTATTTTATTTTTATCTTGTATTTATCTTGTATTATACATGTTGTTCATTTTGTTTTTTCTAACAAATGTCGAGGCTAACATTATGCTAACAGCTGTTAACCAGACTAGACTAACATTAGCTCACCTTATCAGCTCAAGCCACTACATTCTTAAATTTCCATCTAGTCTTGTGCAGTATAAATGTTGTATTTTAGTTAAATAGATGATGCAATAGACAGAGGGTGGGGAACTCTGTCACACAGGAGAAGCTCTGACTATAGCCACTGCTCCTCCATGTCAAGAGGAGCCAGTTAATGTGTTCGGGCCATTTGTTCGCAATGGATGATCCAGGTATGTCCCATCGGCCTGGGAAAGAGTTGGATGAGTTTGAGGAAGTGTGTGTAGATGGGAAAATCTGGGCTTCTTTGTTCGGACTGTTGCGCCTCTGTGACCCGGCAATGGAAAAAGCGGAAGAAAATGGATGGATGGATGGATGAGTAATCCAATGAGTTAGCATGATTTGGCTGTAAAGTGAAGCGTCCATAGAACCACCAATCAAACCGTTGGAAGACAATGGAAACAAAGTAACTAATAATGGATGAAGTTTGCAGTTTGGTAGTGAGCACACGTTCAAACATACGTCACTCGTCAATTCGGTGAGAAATGTGGCCACAGCACTGCACCGGAACTTCATAAGAGACCAGCAATATTAGTGGTCCTTTGAGAAAGTTTTAATATAAATTGTAAAGGATGGCAGTCAGAGCATGTATATGGGAGAGGTCCAGGTCCAAATTAACTAGATGCACACAATTTTTCAGCAATTACATTTTTTTTTATAACTTTTGTGTATGTGAAGCACAAGATGTCATACAGTACATGTGGTAAATGCATACAAGAGCCATTATTGGGAGTATTGTGTTGTGTAGTTCATACAGACTCCCCATATAAACACAACACAAAGCAGATTCACTGAACCATTCTGCAATTATACCAAATCCCGGACTGCAGCACATGTGGCAGAGCAGATTTCTCACCGAATGATTTTAGTCAGAAAGGAAGGAGGGAGAAGAGCCCTGGTGTGAATGGAACAATGTAAAGCCTTACCTGACTGCCCTCTGCTTTTGGATCCTGTGATTGCAAGTGAGTCAAAGAGCAATGTTTAAGAGTCGCTGAATACACACGTCCGCCACGGGACCCCAAACCAATATTGCACCGTTCTGTATGCGAGTAAAGATATATGAAGTTCTATTGTGTTCTGGGCTAGAAAGACTGTGCTGGGATTATAGCACGGGTAACAGGGGAAATGGAGACATCACAAAAGCCTAGGACATTATGTGAAACTGATAACTTAAAACATATCATTTTAATGTGTTCCAATGGACCACAAAAAGGAGATAAATCCATCTCTTTTTTTCAAGCAAAGGGGTCAATTAGCCAACGTTAAGAACAAATATGTCTTGTTTTTTGTGTCTTGAGAACCATAGACTGTGGAAGAAGTGAACCTTAGTGTTTGCCCTATCAAAGAAAATCGGCAACTCTGGAGTCAAATTTGCTGATAGAAACCACCCAGCAATCAAAAGGCCGACCAGGGGCGGTGCCACTCTGTCCCAACTCGCACTACTTGCCAGTTGAAATGGAATTTGTAGACAGAAAGCAGCTGATTGGTCAGTTCTTAGTTTACTTAATTCTGGATTTACAAAAACTATAACAAAATAAAAACATGGTCAGGTTCAATGGTAAACCTCAAATGTCAAGCCCAAAATTGTGAATGTGACAAAATGGTGAATGGGACAGTAACAAATGTAGAGTAAGAGGATTTTATTTTTCACTATTCACAGTCTATGGAATGGGAAACAAATGGCTATCGTGCTTGAAGGAGGAAAAGTTTGCTTATCCCCTTGGCAAATCTTGTTTTAAGACAGTCTACTACTACTTGAATCTACCTTTAATGACTCCATATTCAATACTATAATAGAGCCAAAAAATACAAGCAATGTACACATCTAAGAATTGGTGTGGGATCTACTCAGAGGAGTTAGTTTTAAACATTGTCAGCTGCTCTCACCATCTCGTCTCCAGGAAGCCAGTAGCCCTCCTGCTCGATGCCCGCCTTGGAGCCCTTACAGCCCACAGTGAGGGTCTCCACCACCAGGCCGTCCTTCACCGCCAGACTGAGCTGTCGGGCCGTCTCCTTTGGGTGCATCCCAAACACACGGCTAAGGTACCTACACAAAGGAGCAGATATTACAATTATTACACAACACATCTTTTCAGGTTGTATAGACCTAATTTTTCAGAAGCAATTTGTTCCCCCTTGTTTCCGTTGGGAGGTCATGTGTCGCATATTGATAAAATTTGACAAGCGAGAAAAACACTTAGCACTGATTGATTTAATGAGCATTAATCAAACACAACTGCTGCTTGAGAGTGATTTGAGTGGTTTATGATCCTGGTTAAAGACACAACATGCTTCTGTCTGCTGTATCCAATATGCACTCTTCACTTCAGTGACAGCCGACACTCCTTCACAGCAGCAGTTTGAGGAATAAAAGTGGGACGAGGAGACGAGGCGTAGTGTAGCGTGTTGCCGTTTTGCGTTGCCATGACGACAGCCAGGCTGGACTTGGACCGGCGCCAGCTCCTGAGGCGCTCCTGCTGCCGTACAGGACGTGTTGAGTGCTTTCGTTTAGTCGGTGAATTAGAGATCTGCCTTTGCTTTATCTGTGTTCAGCACGATTTCAGATGATGCCACTAAAAACATATCTTCATTCAAATACATAGAACTAATTCAATGATCTAATATATTATAAACTGTAGAAATACGTATTTACTGTCAACATTAGGATTATATAGAAAATACCATGAATGAAACCAAACATTATTTTATATCAAAATATTGAATGAATAATAACAATAATGCTTTGGTTTTATATAGCTCTTTTTTGGACACTCAGAGACGCTTCACATGTTCATTCATTCACTCCATACACAGTGATGATAAACTACTACTGTGGCCACAGCTGCCCAGACGCACACCAACAGAAGCGAGGCAACCAGTATTTACCATCGGCACCTCCCTCCACCACCAACCATTCACACACACACCAAACTCATTCAATGCAATGTGGGCGCAGTGTCTTGCCTAAGGACACAACGGCAGTTTGGCACTTTACAACTGCACTGCACTGTGGCACCTGGTGTTCTCAGAGGTCTCCCATCACAGCACAAACCAGGCCCTGTCCTGCTTAGCTTCAGAGGTCAGATCTGGATTTCACATACAGGTATGGCTAATTTATTAATATTTTATATTTAATTATATTTTCCTCAACTCTGATTGGTGTTCCAAATATGCCTTGATCATGGAATTGTGATCATTTGCACTGAGCATACAGTGAACACAAGCAGGAGGTCCACAGCTCTCTGCCCCTCAGGACATTTTTGGGTTGAGGAAAAAACAACAAACACAACTAACTGTGAAACATCTGAATCGAAAACAAGTAAACATAACACTAAACTCATTTCAAACATATGTACTGTGTTTGTCAGACTACAACTATATTACTTACCTGTGAATGTGTAATTGTAAATATGTTTCTTTTTTGTGTGCATTGTATATTTGTTGTAAATATACTAATTGCTAAATGGAAGGTTGTGTGTGCATGCTTAGAGGAGGGCCTAATGAAGACCCTCCCTTTATAAGTCAAATGGGCACTGGTGCCACCATTTGCATCCTGAAGAAGGCCAAGCTAGGCTGAAAGGCGGCGGTGCATATTTGAAATTACAGCCATGAGATTCTTACAGCTTTTTAACTCTCTAAACCAGCCATTCCCAAACTCAGTAACACCGAGGCCCCCTTAAAAATCTGACGGGTCTGCGTGGCCCCCCAAAATAATAACCAAGAAGACAACATTAAGAATAGGCTCTTCCGGTTATTTTATTTTGGGGAAATAGCCTCTGCTACAAACATTGTAATACAAAAATGATTACAGTGGATTATTCAAGTCAAATAATGAACACAAATATTTTAATATTACAAACAAAACATTATAAATTTAACATTAAATAATTATGTTATTTTTTTAATTTTTTTTATGACCTCCCGCGGCCCCCCTGCAGTACCCTCGCGGCCCACCAGGGGGCCGCGGACCCCACTTTGGGAGACACTGCTCTAAACTATTGACCACGAGTGCCTTGGATTTATTGACTTTCTGGGCTCTTCACAATTTGCCTTTACCTAGAATGTCCAAAACTGCACTTTTTAAATTACTTACATAGCTTTGTTTTTGTCATTCAATCAAAAAATTTTTTTGAGAAAGGGTTTTTCTTGATATATTTGTTACATATATTTATTACACACAACAAGCTTTAAAGTTCAATAAAAACTTGAATCTGAGTGAAGGTGGAATCAGCTTCTTCATAATGGCACTATTTCTCAGCTGGTGTGACAAATACCAGCCAAATAAATCTAAACCAATACATTTTCATAACCAATTCTAGTTTATTTTTGCAATGGGATTGGGTTAGTAGCAGTTCAAGTGTTAGCATGTCTGTTTTAGCGTTGGATTGTCTGCCCTCAGGTCGTCTTAAATTCTCTTCTTAATGAATACCCGTATGACCGCCTCGTGTAAGAACCTGCCCTGGTTTTAAAAGTGTGGTCTGTGAATCTCTATGTTATTACCCACTTGTTTACAGAACTACAGGACAAATTGTAATTACAAAGTGTGAGTATAAGACATTAGGTGTTTTTAAAAATATTGCAGCGAGAAGTGAGAAAATATGGGAGGTAATAATTGCTTGAGTCGAGTGATTTTTATCTTAATTTGTGAAAATCTTATTTCAAGAACTGTTGATTTATTTTCTCATTCCAATGGAGATATTTTTTCCCATTGGCAATCTCAAGGCCGTCAAAATGTGCTCAAAGATACATTTAGCCAAATTTGAGCTAATTTTGACTTATTTGTATGGTAAGTATTCGAATGTAGGTATAAGACCATTTCCTTCATTGCCTAAAGTTAGTATGTTTCTTGAAATCCCATGTTCACCGCGGTAGTGTGTGCTAAGGCTAACCAGTGTGGCGGAGGAAAGACAGGTCTATCTTTTTATATTCATGAAGCCCGAAAATAGACAGAACCCTCCAGCACATGGCTACTAAATATTTGTAAACAAGTGGTGCATTCACAAAACAGATATGCTTACAGTGTGTATTACATCCTTAGAGCTCAGTAAAAGTACCATACATGTAAAACAAATGCGGTTAGGGATATTGATCATGTTTGAGCTGCTCTGTCGCTTGTTTTGGTCTGGATCAACAGCATGAAGGGGACACCACATCAAATCTCAATACAAAATCTGTGTGATGTTGTTATTTATGAACTTGTCTGGTGCACACTGGGGGACTTTAACAAGTGTATTCCAAATGTAGTTTTACTAATAATGGCAGATAAACTGAATCTTAATTCGCAATAACACATCAAATGAGCAGACAGCGGAAAATTCATGAATAAAAAAGTTATGTAAAATAAGTAAAAACAGTGGCTGTGTCACGGTGGCAGTGTTCAGAGGAGTCAGGGAGGAGCGATAGTGTCTCAGGAACAAGCAAATATAAATAACCATGCATGAAGAACTCTAAAAACAAAGTTGAGTGTGTAAATGCCAAGAGAAAACTACTGACATTGTCATAATATGTGAAAATATTATGTAATTTTTCATGTCATGTTCCTTTAATGAATAACAAAACTTACTTGGAGATGCGGTCCATGTTTGCAATTTGCTTTTGGTTGCGGATGACCTCAATTGCGGCCCAGACGTACTGGACCACTTTGGGGTCTGCCTGCCGCCTCTTCACCACACGAGACATGATTTCTTTATTCATCTCAACTGTAGTCAGAGAAAAGAGAAATCTGCATTAAACATCTTCAACACAAATGTCAGCAATATCCTGATCAAACAGAGTTTGTTTCATCTTCACCTGGTAATAACTGACTACTACTAATAAATTGAAGTAATAATAATGCAGCCATCAAAGTGAATCCTTCACATACTAGAAAATATGTAAATCATCTGATAAAAGTATTGTTCAAACATGTTATATTATAGTCTCCTTTAAAAAAAAAAATCCAGATTAAAGGTGGCAAGAATTATTTCAATGATCAAAGCTCAGAATGTCAAAAAGAATCTGACAAGGATGTTCAAAGCAAAAGGATCCCTAAACATTTCAAAGAAAGTGAAATCCAATTTTATGGTGTTGTCTGCGAAATCCTCCATGAAACTACGGTTGTCACTTTAATTAATGGCAAAACAAAGTTAGAAAGCGCAAATATCCAGTTTTGCTTGCAATATAGAGTAGATATGTTTGTGTAGTTTTAGTGTTTGACATTGAATTTTAGCATTTTATACAGACTAAAACACTGTCCGGTTCACATAATCTTTGTTTTAATCCTGCTTTTTAGCTGAACATGTTTACAATGTTTGAATACGTAGAGAAAATTGTTTGGGAGGACTAAAATGTGCCAACACTTGCTTTAGGCTCACTACATAAATCATGTCCAAACATTAACCCATCTTTATACATTACATAGTAACATGTGACTTGTATGTAAATATAACATACATAGAACATTGATTCCATGAGTCTGACAATTGGGTGACTGGAATCAGTATTTGTCCTTTGGATGATAGCATAATTTGAGCTTAAACTCAACAGTGACATCCATAACATTTGTATAATCACATACTCAATATTTTTTAATAAATTGATACATGAATTCCATAATATCACACAGTAAGCAAAGACTTCCATTGATGGACTGTCGCTGTCACTTGTTTGTTGTGATCCACGTCTTGGTCATGCCACATTTTGGCGCAAAGGATAGAAATAAACAGGACCAGACTGCTGCTGTCTCGGAGCAGGAACAGTGATCTATTGTCTTGTAGCTTTTGCAGCATCCAGGGCGTAGGAAAAATACAACACGTGCTTACACCAGTACCACATGATCAGACACAGATATGATTGTAAACACGTACAACACGTAAAAAAGTGAATGGCAACAAAGACATGGGGGCCACTGGGTTAGCTGTCTGGATAGCCTGCTAATCTCCTTCACTTACTAATATGTAAAGTTGTTATGACACGGACCAGGAAAATGCACGCAACTTTGGTCCGATACTAATCATAGAACACATTTCAATGCAATGCCAAAAGTAAAGTTTGTCAGTACAGAAGGCTAGAGTGTTAGCCAGTTCTGCTTCCCCATGCTAGTAAATGGTTGCAACATGTTATCCACAACCGACATGGAAACACAGCCAGACTTTGCGCCTAATTTGTCAAAAGACTGCACTCCAACAAAACGCTGGTAATAATTATATCACATTAGCAGCTCAGTGTGTTGTCATAAAGCAGAAAACTAACACTAGCCAAGTGGCTGTTTGTTTTGGAAGGCGCCATGTTCACAGTCCACCATCACGGGTAGTAGTGGGAGACAACGCAGCTAGCTACGGGGGCTAGCGGCTAAGCTACATGCTAAGCTACATGCTAAGCTACATGCTAAGCTACATGCTAAGACCGGGGGAACTCGCGCGGTTTTGGCGTCCAGCACCGCGGGGGACATAGCCACTCACCTCGGGCACAGTGTCACCAACCACACGGCGCTGCGGAAGCTCCACACGGGGCTCCTTACATCGGTATTTTGCAGGCAGATATGGGCTATAGTTCGGGCAGTCTGTGTTCCCAGCTGGCCCTGGTAAGTATCTCACCGCTGGAGGAGGTAAACAGTGCTGTGGAGCGGATAGGGACAAGTCCAGGGAGAACTCTAGTGGTGGAATCCGACTCACTGCACCTTCACCCCACGGTAACCCACCTCCAGCACTCCCCCCACTGTTGGAGTTAGAGAAGACACCCACCAAAGTATAAAAGTTTTTGTTGTCTTTATTTGAAGGGATAGTGCACAGTTTATAGACATGTTCTGCAAGATATTATGAATTAACAGACATTTTCCATCTGTATTCTTCACATTGATTAAATATACAATGACATACAATCAAATTTAAAGAATATAATAATCAAAAGGCCGGCGATTAATTTAGGAACAGTAAGAAAATGCCCCATCACTGAGCTTCACGGCATAAAATGTGGATCACAACCATATCTCTCATTTGTCTGTCATCGCATCAGTCTTGGCTCGGGAAAAGATCAAATATAAAGATAAAACAGTATTGATCTCACAATGGAGATATTTCTAATACATGACCAAACAAAATAATAAAATACAAATAAACATTATTGTTTGAAAAATGTGAATTTACAAAAGTTTCAACACCAACTTCTCTATACTTCTCTAATATGTCCGGTGTAACGGGCTGCCCTGTGTGCCCGGAGGGTACAGGACTGGCAACAGAAGCGCTCATCATGCAACCATCTACTCGGCAAGTAACTGAAATTTACTCCACAGAAGCGCAACCAGTCTCCAGAAAAATCAGAAACGCGGTCTACAAAAAGCATAGGCACTTGAGAATCTTCAATACACTTAGCCACGCAAGAGTAGTTTGGGATTCTAGTAGTAAGAAAAATGGTTTACTTGGAGGTCATTTAAATGTACGCAGTATGGTGTCAAAACGTGAACAATTCGAACATTTAATCTGTAACTCCAATATAGACTTTTTTGGACTATCTGAAACATGGCTAACGAACTCCTCCCCTGATTCAGCTATAAACTTGCCAGGTTTCAATACCTTTAGAAATGATAGGAGTCAAGGAAAAGGTGGTGGAGTCCTGTTATACGTCAAAAACAATCTTAAATGCACATCTATATTATGGCCTAACAGTATCACCTTAGAATGTGTTGGGGTAAACATTTCACTCTCGGCTGAAATGTCACTAACTGTCATTTGTCTGTATCGTAAACCCTCATCAAAAAGTGACTTTTATGACCAGTTTAATGAACTTCTTTCACTATACGGCCAAAAGAAAGAAAACATTATTCTGGGAGATTTTAACATAAACTGGGATGACAAAAAAGAGGGAAGGAGTTTGAAAACATTGACTGATAAATTTAATTTTAACCAATTAATTGAGAAGCCAACAAGAGTTACAAATCATTCAGCCTCTAGAATCGATCTACTTTTCTCAAATAAACCAGAAAGGATTACAAAAACACATAATCTGTTAACAGGTCTTTCTGACCATAATGCCATCTTCTGTACAAGAAAATTAACCAAACAACGTTATAATTACCTAAAAGAAGGCAAACAGGTGACAACAAAAGGCATTCCAAATAGAGAGCAACCAAACTTAGAAAAGGCCTTAAAGGAATTAAATTGGGAACAAATTATCTCATGTAACAATATTGATCTATGCTCTGAATCATTTCTGACCAAAATTGAACAAGTTTACATATCTTTTTTAAAAGCTCAAAAACATAGAGGTATAAAATCTCAATCTGCCCCTTGGATAAACTTAAATTGCATCAAACTGATGAAAAGTAGAGACCAATTGTTGAAAAGGTTTATCAAAACAAAATTGACCTCAGACAGGCTGAATTACACACAAACTAGAAACAAGGTAATAACAGAAATGCGAAAGGCCAAAGCTAATTTTTTCATTTCAATTATGGAGAATGCAGGGGGGAATGGAAAATTAATACGGCAAAAGATTAATACACTTTTAGTGAAGAAAAATAAGAATGTGTGTGATCTAGAGCTGAAGATAGAGAACCAGCTTGTGAAAGATCCTGCTGTACTAGCAGAAGAGTTTAATTCTTTCTTTGTACGCTCAGTACAAGAAGTAGCTGCTTGCTTTGGCACTAATGTAACTAACTTTTCTCAGGAAGGGTTAGTTACATTAGTGCTAAAGGACCAAAGCCTTGAACTACTGAAGATATCTGAAGCAGAAGCAGAATCAATCAAATGAAAGGCTCCAAAGCCAAAGACTTCATGGACTTGGATACTGCCTTCCTAAAAACACACAAAAAGGTCCTTGCACGTCCAATCACACATCTAATCAACTTATCTGTTGAACACTCCACTGTACCACAGACCTGGAAAATGGCCGTTGTGACGCCAATTTTTAAATCAGGTGAGAAAACCAATGTGTCCAATTATAGGCCAATAAGTATATTGCCTATTTTTTCCAAGGTCCTGGAGAAATGGGTAGCAAAACAATTGGTAGAACATCTCAATAATGGCCAGGCTCCTCTGCACCCTATGCAGTTTGGCTTCCGTGAACACCATTCAACAGAAACTGCAATAACATTGTTTTTAGAACGAGTAAAAAGTAGTCTGGATAGACACACTTATGTGGGTGCAGTATTTCTAGATTTAAGAAAAGCATTTGATTTAGTGAACCATGATATACTTCTGTCTAAGCTGCCATTTTTCAATTTTTCGGAGAAAGCCATAAAATGGATGGCTTCATATTTGTCTAGTAGAAAACAAGGGTCTGTGGTCAATGGAGTGAAATCAAGTTTTATCAACTGTCCACTAGGGGTCCCCCAAGGTACAGTTCTTGGCCCTATTTTATTCTCCATGTTCATAAATGATCTGCCCAATATTTGTAAAGGTGTAAACATTCAATTATATGCCGATGATGCAGTGATATATGCAAGTGCAAAATCATCTGAGGAAGCTGCTAAAATTCTAACGTCAGCACTTGTAAATATTCAGAGTTGGCTCACGAAGTCCTGTCTGCTCCTAAACAAACAAAAAACTGTTTGTATGATGTTCGCTAAAAAGGCCTCTAACATCAGCCGCTCCAATGTGTTTATTGAAAATCAGGAACTACAACTAGTAACAGAATTTAAATACTTAGGGGTGTTAATAGACTCCACATTATCCTTTAAAAAACACGTGAAGATGATTGGTAATAGAATTAAGTTCAGCGTTTCCAATTTTAATCATATAAGGAGGTCATTAACAGACGAAGCTGCCTTGACGTTTTTGCACTGTATGATTTTTTCCCATGTAAGCTATTGTATAACGTGTTGGTCACTAACAGGTGTAACAATCCTAAAGCCAATTGAGAGGCTCTACAAAAAAGCACTGAAAGTTTCAGACAAAAAACCTTACACTTACCATCATTGTAGTTAGGGCTGAAACAACTAATCGATTAATCGACGACTAATCGATTATTGAAATAGTCGACAACTATTTTAGTAATCGATTAATCGTTTTCTGGTTCACACGGACTCAAACAGAGCAAAAATGACATGAAAATGTAGTATTTTTGATTAAAACCGACTTTGTTTTTATAATTTCATGAATATCTGTCTGTCTCATCCAATCAGATAGCAGAATTAGCACAAAGAGCCTGTTACAAACATTTACTTTAAGTTTGCGCCATCAATACGTCCTCGAGTGTTGCCACTTTAGCTTTTTGTGATGAATTTTTTTTTTTTTTTTCTACACAATTCACAGCCAAGCGATTACTCGATTAATCGTAAAAATAATCGATAGATTAATCGATTACAAAATAATCGTTAGTTGCAGCTCTAATTGTAGTATCCTCTCAAAATATAAACTATTAAGTTTTGAGAACTTTATCAAATTCAAAAATGCTTGTCTCATATACAAAAGTTTACATGGGTTAGCCCCCCCTCCTCTGAACGATCACATTAGATACAAAACTTCAACTTCACGAACCACCAGAGCCATGAGTCGAGGTGATTATGAGGTTCCTGCGAGAAAAACTACTTTCGGACAAAATGTTCTGTCGTACAAGGCTGTATGCAATGGAACATTTTGCCGACTTCTGTAAGAGAGGCCCCTAGTTTTACTTCATTTAAAAGTCTCCTAAAGGAGTGGTTAAGGTCGTCTCAAACATGCGACCATTAATGTTGGGGAACATGCGATAGGGTTTGTTTGCAAATAGGACATGTGTAGTTTTGGTTGACTGTAATGCAAGGATGTTATGCAGTAATGGGGTGTGTAAAATAACGGGATGTGTGCAATAATGAGATGTGTGTAACGGGATGTGTGCAATAATGAGATGTGTGCAATAATGACATGTGTGCAATAATGAGATGTGTGCCATAATGAGATGTGTGCAATACTGAGACGTGTGCAATAATGAGATGTGTGCAATACTGAGACGTGTGCAATAATGAGATGTATGCAAAAATGAGATGTGTGCAATAATGAGATGTGTGCAATAATGAGATGTGTGTATTAACGGGATGTGTGCAATAATCTGATGTGTGTATTAGACATTTTCCTCTTGTTTCTGTTAATGTTGCTGCATTTGACCCGTGTGACCCTGACCCTATGGGACTACAGATGGAAATTTGCCTTTGGCTTTAATCTGGCATGTTTACATTCATGTTTTTAATGTCTGTTCATTGACATGCACTGTCCCATATAAATAAATAAATAAATATTCACTGACCTGCACCACAGTTCTGAAACAAGAATACAGGGAATGGCAGGTACCAGCAAAGTGATGCCATTTGTTTGTTAATGCACTATGTTAGTATATGATGATATCTCTGCAATCAGGATATCATACTTCAGACCTTTCCTTTCTTTTATTCAAGGCTTGCTTTAATGTGAAGAAATCTATATTTTTATTATTACCTTCTTCATCGTGGCCAAAACAACATGCCTGGTTTTCCAGAGGGACCTTTGACTATGCCCCTTCAGAGTATTACGAGGGGGGCTGGTACCATGCCCAGGCGACATGCGTATGGCAGCTGGGAGTGATTCTCTATGAGCTCTGGGAGAAGGAGAAGAAATTCAACACCAAGGCTTATGAGGACCCGAAGCTTATGTGGAACAGAAGCTCATGTTGACGAAGAGACTCTCAAATAGTAAAAGCAAATCCTTACAAACAACTGACATGTTGCTTTCAGAATCTGAATGCAACTTTTTTGTGCAGAGGAATATACTTATTTCGGTCTTGTTTTAAAAATATATTGCTTTTCTGCCTCCACTTTCAGTATTCTCTGATTGGTTCTTAACCTGTTCTATCAAAAACCATTCATGAAATGGTCACCTTGGGGCAGAGATATAGAAATACTTGGATATAATTTGGAATTGTTTAATTTTCTTTTCTCTATTTTCTTTTCCAGTCTGATGGTAAGTCCAAGATACTTCACCTGCTTCTGTACCATGAGTGGCTGCTATTTTATAGGGGGCCAATGGAGTAAGTGGGAACAGGTTAGATTAGACTAGACTTTATTTGTCACTGTACACATGCACAGGTTTGGTGTACATTTTTCTTTGAAATCAGATGCAACTTTCTCAATTCGCTTCACCAAACTCTAAATCTAAACAAAGTGGCAAGGTCAGTAGGCTGATGGAAGGTTTGAATCTTAAAGGCAACATCTTTAAAGAAGCATGGTGTGTGGCTGTGTTTCCCAAAGTGGGGTCCAGGGGTCCTCAGAGGCACTTCATGGGTGCCCCTAAATGTTTCCAACACAAAGAACAAATGAAATAAGATTTTTTTTAAACCTCAAATATAGTTTAAATTACTATAACCAAATCTTATTTATTATCTGTTATTTAATTATCTATCAAAGGTGGTAGAGAATGAGTGAGCCAAGAAAAAAGATTTAATGATGGACTTGGAAATTTGAAGCAATGAGAACATTCTTTCATTCATCCATTTTCTTCCTCTTAATCCATTTCTGGGTCAGGGGGGTGGCAGTCAGAGCCGCACCCAGTCCACAGAGCATCAGCTCCTCACTGATCCTCCTGCAGGTGGTGAGTCCACAGGAGCCTTGATCTTTCAGTGGAGGCTTCAGGCAAAGTGAAACATAAAAATAAAACACATTTTATATGGGGTAATTTTTTCAAGAAGACACACAATGAAACTTATATTATCTTTATAGGTAAAGTAATCAAGAACTAGTACAACAGTCAGAAAATGCACTTGATTGAGGACAGTATCAACGAGGGACATTAAAATATGTTTTAATCTCATTTAAAACTTTGAATTATCATTATATCATTCAGTGCTGTCAGGATATGGGCTTATCGTCACCTCTACTTCTGTCACCTCAATGACCATGTCTCGAATTGCAGCCACAGAGTCCAACGGCTGCACAGAACTGTTCTCTTCTTGCACTACTATTGGATGGGAGTTGACAAGTCCCTCCTTCTCAATGTCTGTATAGTTACTCATGTCTTCTGAATTTTCTTCTTTCTTTAACTCATCATCAATCTTCTCAACAACTATGTCTCCAGTACCATGAGCTTGCTGTTGTGGTGAATGGTCATGTGTTTCCTCTGTTCTCTCACATTGCCAGTTTTCCACAATAGACCCTTTCAGATACACCGCCTTATCAGTGGATTGCTGAGTCAAATTTTCCACACCATCAAAAAGTATGGCCTCACTCAGTGTTTCGAGACTGATTTTCATTATTGGTTGTTCGACTTCGACAGCTGACGATTCTGCGTTTGGGGATGCGTTGAAGTCATCAGGTAACTTTTCTTCAAACTCCGAATTATTTTTACTTTCTGGTGACTGACTTGCGGGAACAGCCTCTGGAGCATCGTCAAAACTGGTTAAGGATTCAAGGACTTCCAGCGGATCGGAATCAGAATTTTCCTCCCACATTTTAACAGATTCTGAGTCGGAAGATTCATACTTAAGCAAGTCCAAAACAGGATCAGACGGATGATCACATGAAATGTCTGCTTTTGGACTTTTGCTGATTTTCTGGGTTACCACAATCACTGGTGGATTAGTCTCTTCAACTTGATCTTTGTTTTGAGCTTTGTGTAAACTTGGAGTTGAATCCGGGACTGTTGGAAGACTTTGGCGGAGCTGGAGGGCTGGACTGTTGGGTGTGGAGGGGGTCAGCGTCTGTCCCAAAAGGCTGTACTGACTAATGGCCAAATCGGATGTGTCCAGTAACAAGTTGCTGCTAGTATTGGACATGGCTTCTTGTAGAACTGCAAAAATAATTGAGAAATGAGTTACTTTATAGATGAGTACTATACAAATTTGTCAAAAGTGAGCGCATAAACATCCAGTCATATTGATTGATTGATTGATAGATTGATTGATAGATACTTTATTCATCCCAGCGAGGGGAAATTCAGTTGTCCTTAGTAGCAAAACAGCGGATAAAAAAGACAATACATATAAATATGATAAAAAATTAAAACCCCCACACATATGTATGTGGCACTTTACATTTTTCAATCCAAATAAAAATAGTTTGAATTAAAAACATTCACAATATACCTTTTTGGATATCTTGGCTGAGGATGCCACTGAGCACGTCTTGGTAAATGTTCTGAACCAGGATGAAGCTGCTGAAGTCTGAGAAGATGTACTGTTCAAACTGTTGCAGCTCCTGGGCCCAAATTTCACAAAGTCAAATAACAATTGGGACAAAAATCAAAGTTAAATTTAGATTCTTTTTAAAGTGTAATTAGCAGGTCTAGAGTGTGCCCTCTGTTGTGGAAGGTGCCACTCACAGACCAATGACTAATGAAAAAGCTGTGAGGGGTTGTTTAGAACTAGAAACTTTTTAATGGACACATATGGCAATGACAGATCCAATGACACCTTTTAAGATGGAAAACCTTTGTCTTAGAGTGGGGACATTTATGTGTGATGTGAAAAGCGCTTTAAGGCTATTGTTGAAGAAAAGTATAAATCACTAGAATAATAATAATAATAACCTGTGTGTATGCAGGTACAGGTATAGGTGTATGTTTGTATGTGTGTGTATGTATATATATATGTATATGTATGAATGTGTGTATGTGTATTTAAATCCATGTATAGATATATATATATTATATACATAAAAGGAATAAAATTAAAATAAATAAATAATAATAATAAATATATATATATATATATAAATATATATATATATATATATATGTCATACTCTGTGTTTATGTATATAATGTGATTACAAGGAATATTTCTTTGAATTAGTACAAACCATTTATTTTCTTACAATGAAAATTGTATTTGGAAATACTGTAAGCTCTGTGGATCCGCTACATTGTATATAATTTTGTTACATTTGTATAAGTAAGAAATTTAATTTTGTTATTTGTTAATAGGGTTAGGCGAAATAAGTGTTAAACTTCAGCCTAACCCTTTCGGTCAGTATATAATTTATAATTTGTGAATGTCAAATGTTTTCTTATTTTCTGCTGATGGCCGAAGAATAAACGAATATATGTGTGTTGTGGGATAGACAGGTTTTTAGGGATGGGCCAGTTAAGAGCTTTGGAGGAGGGACAGGGGAGAGCATAAATTGGCTAAAAGTTAAGAGCCACAATATCTCATGGCCGTGCAATTGCGCATCAGTTGACCTGTTTGGGTTAACTCTACTCAGCCTATAGTCGATGTGGTTTCAGACTCACGTTTTTCCAGGAGCCGTGCAGTCTCTGAGACAGTGTGGGCAGAGTGATCCTCAGGAGAACCTCCTTGTACAGTCTCCTCTGAACTAGTCTGCTGTCATAGTCCAACTGCTGCTCACACACACACACACACATACACACACACGCACAAGCACACACACACCATACGCACACAATGTTCTGAATTATTTTTCATGGAGAATCACTTAACTACCAAACCTCATGTATTTACTCCTGGCGTCAAAATGCATTATGTAATTTATGTGTTGCATAAAATGATCTTCAGGATAAATGAAAAGATGTTGGTTTTTTACCTTGAGCACTCGGTCTTTGGCGCGAGCCGTCTTCACGCTGAACTGGTCTGGCTGCAGTCTGGCTGAAGTCCTGAGGAACAGTTCAAATGTGTAGACGGCACTGTCCAACAGCTAAAGCACATGATGAGTTTAACATGTGTCCGAACAGGGAGCAGTTAGGCTCTTAAAGCTGTCAGACGCACCTTCTCCATGTCCAGATGTGCAGAGAGCACCAGGCGATCGGTGCTGCTCAGACCAAACCGCTCACTCAGGCCCGAGAGGTCGCTCTTCAGTCTCTCCACCTGCTGGAAACACTTCTCCATACCTGTTTTTGTCAGAGACAAAACCTGTTGTGAAACAAAGAGCAAATCAAAACCCCTGTGGCTTGAAGTGGGTATATTTCAGTGTTGCTGTGTTAATTGCATCGTTTAGAAATGACAGTATTCACACCATTGAGAGTAAGCGGAGTAGGTGTTTACGCACTAAAGATCTGGGGTTTTTTGTTTTTATTTGCCAAATCCACCTTGGACGACAGTGAAAATTTTGTTTGAACCTGCTTTGGCTTTTCACCACAGGGAATACAGGAATGCTTCAAAATAACAAATAATGATAATAATTGATAATAATAATAAATAAATCACCTTATTGCACAGCTGACTGCATGTTGTGTGCACCATGTGCACTTGTTTATTGTATACTGTAAATTGATAATTCTATTTTGAATTTTATACCTTAGAAGTGTATGCTGATTTTTATTATGCCTTAATCTATTCTTTACTCTTTACCTCTCTTTCTGACTGTTGCACCGAGCCAAAGCAATTTCCTAGTCTGTGACTTCCTCTTACTTACATGGCAATAAAAAAGATTCTGATTCTGATTCTAAAAGGGTCAAAACAAACTTATGACATTCAAAATAAGTTTTCTAAAGTCATTGTAAGTAGGACCAGATAATTGCAACATACTCTCCTGCAGCAGATGTATCTTCCATGTGGAGCAATGGAAACATTTTCCAACATTTTCACAAAGGGAACTTTATAAAGGTAATATTTAAAAAAAAAAGTATGATTAGAGCTTCACTCTTGTTACTCTGCTCGTTACGCTATCATTCTGCAAAGTGTTGTCCCTCTTGTGAGTTGTTTGTAGTTTTATAAACTTCTTCACCTGACCCTCATCCAAGCAAATGGCTTTAGATAGTTGGATACATTGCTATCTGTATGACTGTTATATTTGGTAACTTGTTGGTCGTGTCGTCAGTGAACTGGGCAACACTGCTGAGGGGGTGTCCGCACTCTGTCCTGTCTCCAGCATGTCTTTGTCTCATGCATTGACCACTTTACCTTCTTGGTGACCTCGCTGCCTCCTCCGGCTTCGGCCAGAGCAGAGTCGATCTGTGACTGTAGCGTGCGTCTCATCTCCTGCAGTGCGGAGCCGATGTTCCCAGTCAGCGCCTCCAAGACCGAGGGCAGGAACGGAGAAATGAACTCACCACACACACGCTCTGCCTCTGGTCCCACACAGCCTGAAAAACACCAGGAATGAGAGAGCTCAACATGTATACATAACAGGACAGGTGCACCTTGGGGTAGTCTTGCACAGTTTTTCAATGTAATTTTACTGCAAATGCTAATAAAAGCTTGAATCTTGTGTGTTTCAGGTTAAAACATTGCTGTCACTAAAATGCAGTTAATACATGTTTCACCACAAATTCAACTTCCGAATGGGCAATTTCTTTTAGATTTCAACATTTACTTCAAATTTATGACATCACATCATTCCTTGCTGTACACTGGGGGCTAATCTCGGATATAGCTTTTCTTTGGTTGATAAAGGACAGCTGCCGTTGACTGCATTAACGCCAGTGGATTACAAGGACAATATCATTTAATATAATTATTCTTCACTTTTTCATCAGAAGTTAAATCAGGAGACTCAGATTGAATTTTAATAATGAGCTATCTGCAGATTTTGTGGTTAATTAGGCTATTGGTAGATTCAATAATGAGCGTTTTGCCCATAAAGCCCCACTTAGAATGTACACTGAACATATGAATACTTGCATTTTCTAGTGTGTGAGACATCTGGAGCAATATCTGACTGGAGTATTCAATTTGGACTCCATGGGTTTGTACTATAGTCCGCAGATTCTTGTTACAACTTTTTTACCTTGTATTTTTTTGAGTAGAAACCTCTGTGACGCAGTGATCTGGTCCAGACTGGATCGGACGAGGCCCTGGTTGGCTGTGGCAGACTCCCGACATTCAGTCCTCAGCGCCTCCAGACGGGGCTTCAGCTGCTCCAACACCGCTGTGTAGGCCGCATGCACTGTCTGGGACCAGATGGGAATGGTACAGTGTTCACTCAGCTTAAGATACTGTATTGATACTAGTTAGAAAAGTGGGTAGAGGACAAAGACGTTCTGATATAAACATTTACTAGTGATACAGATGGAGAACAGAGGTCCACAGTCCAAAACATGCAGGTCAGATTCCACACTCAACTCTGATTTTTATTCTGATTATTGGTCAAGGAGACAAATCATGCAAAACTGACCTAGAGTCGTTTTTAGAACCATCCAAGCTGACACCAGGAATCATGTAACTTCGCCTCTTTTCTCGAAATAAGTAATTGTACCACTAAGACATCCTCCTCAACAGTTTTCGGACTTTCAAAAAAAAGCATTGCCAACACATTAGTTTGGAAATAATACACGTGAAATTACATTCTCTACAATCACAGGGCTGCGTTTAAAGCCTGACATTTTATCATTTGGAAAAAGGACTTGAAATCATTTTGCTCAATTCAAACATAGGGGGCAACTGTGATCCAGACCAGAGGCTATATGTCCTCATATTTACTCCTGGTTTCATTTTGCATTGGTTCATTTTGAAATCTGTTTCAATGCTTCGCACTTTGTTTGTTTCACATATCATTTCTGAAAAAAACCCAGAAAAAACCCAGAAAAAAACGCTTGAAGGGTTAAATTATTTCCGTAGTTTCCGCGCCCAAATATCCATGAGCTGTTGCTTGGAGTTGCTTTGTATTTGTCTGCGTGTGTGTTATGCTTATGTTTGTGTTTGTGTATGTATATATGTGTATGTATATCAATAACCATGAACCTACCGTTAACCACAATCGAATCCTCTCTGCTTTCTTTCCTTTGATTTTATTTTGTAGCTGCGTCTGTAACCACGGCAACACTTCCTCCATAAACTGGGCGGCCAGCACCTGGGAGCAGAAAAAACCCACCGTTGGTCAGACCGCAGAGAAAAGCAGAATCACTTATGATCATACTGTATGTAATCACTGACTTGTTCCTCAGGGCCCTGCAGGATTTCCCAGCATTCATAGTGGCCCCTGTCCTGTCGGTAGAGCTGCAGAGCGTGGATAAAGGCTTGGCTCTCGTAGTAGCCCTCACACCATGGATCTAAGCACAGAAGTAGAGATGTATGGTTTAAGTCTAACACCTAAACAACCTTAACACATGACAGAAAAAGTGACCGGAAATGGAACAATCCAAACAATTGGAAATGGAAGGTCCTTTAAGAGCGCTTTCTGGTTTTAAGCATTGCAAATATACGTTTTTTAAAATGTTCTAATCTAAGAAATGGCACTTTTTCATTTATTTTTCAAATTTCCAAGAGGGTTCTATGAATGACTAAGAATTTTCAAATGACTCAAGTTGAGGAACGATACTGACTGTTTGCAGAACTGAAAGTAGTGAAATCACCAACCTCAGCATTTTCATCTCAAAGGGCGTATTCTCCAAAAATTACTACATAAAAAATACAATTTATCCTCGGTCTAAATCAAATACATATCATAGTTTTTATAGATTTATAGATAAAAAAATTACCAAAATGTTCTATGAAAATGCTTTGTCATAAATCAAGATTATTTACTTACTTCTTGTGGCTATAACTTATTTGTGCATAACCCTTTGCACTAAATTTGTCAATGAAGAACTTCCATTTGAAGAAAGTTACTGAGTTCAAAAGGAAAACTATAAAACCTCATTATTATTCATGAGAAAAAATAAAATAGATGTTTAAAAAGTTTAGCCATTTTTCTATTCCTGACATTACAGGGCCAGGAGAATAAAAAAATACCATTCAGAGTTAATTGTCAATTTCTTCAAACCCCAAGAGCTTCTAATGGCTTCAACAAAATAGAATTCGTATGAACTAATTGTTTTTATTGTTTTATTGACCCCACAGCACGACAATATTTCAATCTCTATGGCAACGGTTGAAAAGGATACCGCAGTGACTCATTGCTGTGGGGTCGGTGCGTGATTGTGGTTATACCCAGGCTTTGGTGGCGGATGCAGGACTGGAGGGCAGACAGGAAGTGATATCGTTCGCTCTCATTTTGAAACAGGAAGCAGTAGAGTTCTGAGTGGGGCAGGTGCAAGAGCGAAACAAAGCCCTCTGCATGCGACGCGGCCGACGACGAGTCCTCCTTCAGGCCTATAAAAATACACAACTGTACTGAGAATTATACACAACCACCATTTAGTCTCTCTCCGGTCTCTCTCTGGTCTCTCTCTAGTCTCTCTCTAGTCTTTCTCTGGTCTCTCTCTAGTCTCTCTCTAGTCTTTCTCTGGTCTCTCTCTAGTCTCTCTCTGGTCTCTCTCTGGTCTCTCTCTGGTCTCTCTCTGGTTTCTCTCTGGTCTCTCTCAAGTCTCTCTCAGGTCTCTCTCTAGTCTCTCTCTAGTCTCTCTCAGGTCTCTCTCTGGTCTCTCTCTGGTCTCTCTCTAGTCTCTCTCTGGTCTCTCTCAGGTCTCTCTCTCAGGTCTCTCTCAGGTCTCTCCTTGTCTCTCTCTGGTCTCTCCCTGGTCTCTCTCTCTGGTCTCTCTCTGGTCTCTCTCTCTCTGGTCTCTCTCTCAGTCTCTCTCTGGTCTCTCTCTGGTCTCTCTCTAGTCTCTCTCTAGTCTCTCTCTGGTCTCTCTCTGGTCTCTCTCTGGTCTCTCTCTGGTTTCTCTCTGGTCTCTCTCTAGTCTCTCTCTGGTCTCTCTCTAGTCTCTCTCTAGTCTCTCTCTGGTCTCTCTCTGGTCTCTCTCTGGTCTCTCTCTGGTCTCTCTCTAGTCTCTCTCTAGTCTCTCTCTAGTCTCTCTCTAGTCTCTCTCTAGTCTCTCTCTGGTCTCTCTCTGGTCTCTCTCTGGTCTCTCTCTGGTTTCTCTCTGGTCTCTCTCTGGTCTCTCTCTAGTCTCTCTCAGGTCTCTCTCTAGTCTCTCTCTCTAGTCTCTCTCAGGTCTCTCTCTGGTCTCTCTCTGGTCTCTCTCAGGTCTCTCTCTAGTCTCTCTCTAGTCTCTCTCTAGTCTCTCTCTAGTCTCTCTCTAGTCTCTCTCTGGTCTCTCTCTGGTCTCTCTCTGGTTTCTCTCTGGTCTCTCTCTCTAGTCTCTCTCAGGTCTCTCTCTAGTCTCTCTCTAGTCTCTCTCTAGTCTCTCTCTGGTCTCTCTCTGGTCTCTCTCTGGTCTCTCTCTAGTCTCTCTCTAGTCTCTCTCTAGTCTCTCTCTGGTCTCTCTCTGGTCTCTCTCTGGTCTCTCTCTGGTTTCTCTCTGGTCTCTCTCTAGTCTCTCTCAGGTCTCTCTCTAGTCTCTCTCTGGTCTCTCTCTGGTCTCTCTCTGGTCTCTCTCCTGGTTTCTCTCTGGTCTCTCTCTAGTCTCTCTCAGGTCTCTCTCTAGTCTCTCTCTAGTCTCTCTCTAGTCTCTCTCTGGTCTCTCTCTGGTCTCTCTCTGGTCTCTCTCTGGTCTCTCTCTAGTCTCTCTCTAGTCTCTCTCTAGTCTCTCTCTGGTCTCTCTCTGGTCTCTCTCTGGTCTCTCTCTGGTTTCTCTCTGGTCTCTCTCTAGTCTCTCTCAGGTCTCTCTCTAGTCTCTCTAGTCTCTCTCTAGTCTCTCTCAGGTCTCTCTCTGGTCTCTCTCTGGTCTCTCTCAGGTCTCTCTCTAGTCTCTCTCAGGTCTCTCTCTGGTCTCTCTCTGGTCTCTCTCTAGTCTCTCTCTAGTCTCTCTCAGGTCTCTCTCTGGTCTCTCTCTGGTCTCTCTCTGGTCTCTCTCTGGTCTTTCTCTGGTCTCTCTCAGGTCTCTCTCTCAGGTCTCTCTCTCTCAGGTCTCTCTCTCAGGTCTCTCTCAGGTCTCTCCTTGTCTCTCTCTGGTCTCTCCCTGGTCTCTCTCTCTGGTCTCTCTCTGGTCTCTCTCTCTCAGGTCTCTCTCTCAGGTCTCTCCTTGTCTCTCTCTTGTCTCTCCCTGGTCTCTCTCTCTGGTTTCTCTCTCTCTCTCTTGTCTCTCCCTGGTCTCTCCCTGGTCTCTCTCTGGTTTCTCTCTCTCTCTCTGGTCTCTCCCTGGTGTCTCTCTCTCTGGTCTCTCTCTGGTATCTCTCTGGTCTCTCTCTCTAGTCACAACTGTACTGAGAATAATCCACAAGCACCATTCCTTTAAGATTATTTTACTCAAATAGGGGCGTGGTAAGAAAAGGCAATAATTATAAAAGAGTACTTAAAAAAAATGAAAAAAATAATAATAATGTATATATAAAATAGAATAAAGAAAAAAAAAGATTGATATACACACCGTTGAGTACTCCGGAGCAGATCTGGTCCAACAGATTCTGGGCCTCACCCTCAGAGGTCAGAACAGCGCCCCCTGCTGGTTGCAAGACCAGTTTTGCAGCAGAACCTCGAAGAAAGCTCTGGCACATGTGAATAAACGAATCATTTACTGAATCAAACCCTGAGATAATCCTAAAGTAATCCGCTCTCTGACCTCTTGGCTGTCGTGGACCTCCAGGCTGTAGTTTCTCTTGACGACCACATATTTGTCTTTGCCTTTGCGGCTCGACTCGTCCCACGTGGAGAACCTGGCTCTGCCCTGGAACAGCACGTCTTCAGGGTCTGTTTGAGGCTACAACAAACAAAGCCAGACTTCAAATGTATTTATTATCAATGTATCTATCTGTGGGAGCCTGTTCGCACAAAGAACATTCAAAAATAAATGTACAGCATATGTAGATAGATAAGAAATTCGATTTTTTTTTTTAAAAGAGATCTATCCACAGTCAAAATGTGATAAATTGTAAATACATTTTGTTTTCCCAACAGAACAAGACAGGAGAGTCCAAGGAGAGAGGTGATGATCCAGGAAACCGTTTTATGGGCATTTATCAACATTTAAGGACATTGGTCATCTGCATGTATTCACTTAAATCTTCCACTGACTAAATAGTGTCACATCTTACCACACCAAACGCCAAAGCACTCTCTGTCATGTTTAGTTGCCAAAATGAACACTAATAATGCATCATTTCTAGGTTCATAACTGCATTTCCAGTGAATGGCATGTTCTTATCTCACCCTCTGAGTCAGTATCAGTCCTCTTTCCTGTTTCTTAGGCTCCACTTCTTGCTGTAAGTGTCCAGAATACGCAGCTGGATACTGCCGACAATAGAAGGCACTGAAACTCTGAAAGCAGCTGTCCACCAGTCCTGCAAAAGGAAGCGCAATTTTAGATCCAAGAAACTGTGAGGAGGATTTTCCCAAATTTTGAAAGAACTCTCTGGTCTTGTTTGATGAGTTCGAATCACCAGAATGATAATGACAATTAGAGGACCAAAAGTCTTGAGGACCCACCCGGAATTAGAAAAGCCTCCTTTATACTTTTAATATGGTACATATCACGTAGTATCCAAAAGTATTTCTTGGAGAGCTTCTTTTAAAGGACAAAATACTAACTTTACTTTGAAGAGAAAGAGGTTGGAGACCGAAGTCTATATCAAAAGATAATCGGCTAACTTCCTCTGATTTAAACTGCTTCAATCTGAAAATGTTAAGCCCTGAATATGCCTACATATTTTAAATATAAGTTACATAATGTATATAATTTCAAGATTTTCACTAATAATACCAAAGTTTGTGAAGAAAATAGGAAACAATACTGAAATTTCTAAGAAACAGAGCAGTGTTCATGAAATGATCTCATGAATCTGAATTCTCCCCAAATTTCATAATTTATGACACACTATTTTTTTAGGAAATTTAAAGTACATTATAACATTTTAATCTTTTAAAGAATGATCTTTGAGTGCATTGTAGGAGCTTTAGCCACATGGTTGCTAGGTCAAAATAGACAAAGATGAATGGACAGGCATGGAAGCTAACGGTTAAACTGTAACGGTCGTCTCTCTGCTATATCCCAACATGAAAACCTGCATCTTATATTCAAGTGCGGCCTATATGTGGACAGAATTTATTTATTTTACAAGTTTAGGTGGTGCAGCTTATAGCCAAAAAAGTATGGTAAGTGCGTGTTGCATAACCGCATATATTGTCTTTGTCTATTATACTTGTCTATCTATATATATTTTCTTTCTTTTTACTAAATGAATACAACGCAATAGTCCTGAAGTACAGTATATAGTAACAGTAGTTGTTTAAATGAATGAGAAGACAGGCTGGGCACATGTCATTAGTGTTGTTTACAAATCTCACTCTCGACTCGATCTGATTTCTGCAGCGTAATAGTTGGAAATAGCACTAATTACATTCTTAGAGATTATCAACAGGAAACATTCCAGTCGATAACGCGCAAAGGAATGCTCAAAAACTACATTGGGACGTGGACTTCAGAAACATAAAGTTGAAAGTTACTTGTATGATCCGTTTGCAGGAGAAATTATATTTTGTTTTAACACTGGAACTCCCAGAGCAGTCAATTTGACGGGTATTGGTTTTGGAAGTATAATTACGCAGCGTTTGTTCATGTTTTGTCTTTATAACTTTGTGACTGTTTCTGTTTCTATGTATAACTAGTTTATTTCTAAGCCATTTTTTTTTTAAATAAATGATCTTTTATTGAGCAGTTCGTTACCATAGCAACACGCTGTTAGCTTCCCAGCGTTTAGCATTTGGTCGACTTTCAACAAACCGTTTTTTGTGTGTGCTGTATTTCTATTTACCAGTCGCAGCTCTCAGTAGAAGTGAGTTAAAAAGTGAGCTACGTTTTGGGGGGAATTTGTAAATATGCAGCGTATTTACATGTTTGGTCTTTATAACTTGTGACTTTTTCTGTTTCTATATATAGTTTATTTCTATGCCATTATTTTTTCATCAAATGTATCTGTAATTTTTGACACGTGAGCAGTTAGTTACCATAGCAACACACCGTTTACTTACAGTTAGTTACAATAGTTACCATAGCAACACCTGTACTGTTTACTGGCAGTTAGTTACCATAGTTACCATAGCAACACACTGTTTACTTGCAGTTAGTTACAATAGTTACCATAGCAGCACATGTACTGTTTACTTGCAGTTAGTTGCCATAGCAACACACCGTTTACCAGTTAGTTACAATAGTTACCATAGCAACACATGTACTGTTTACTTGCAGTTAGTTACCATAGTTACCATAGCAAAACACTGTTTACTTAAAGAAAATAAAGATGTTATTTTATTCTCAAAGTTATTGTTCATTTATCTTGTGTTGTGTGCTCCTCATTCCTACTGTTCTGGAACTGCTGATGCAACACTGACATTTCCCCACAGTGGGCGAATAAAGGATCAACTTAATCGCACCAGATCCTCGTTCCTTGTTTGGTTTTATCACTAAAATTCACATCTTTAGATCCACTTTTTCAACCCTGAAAAGGGAAAAAGAGAGGACCATCCTTACTCAGCCAATCAGCACTCAGCTCAAAACGTTAAAAAGTGACTCACATGGGTTCATTCTTAAAGAGGAGAAATTCAGGTTCTTGACTTTAGCTGGAAAATTTGGAAATTCATGCGATAAAGAAAACATGTTTTGGTCTGATTTGTTCACAACATTTTACTCTTTCTGCGACAAACCTAATGTTTAATTGTGTCTTTGGTTTTAAGTTTAAAAAAGCTAAAAAATATAACCTTCATTAATACTCACAGTTTTATAGTAGTGTGTAAATAAAGTAATGCAGAGTAGTGTAAAATCTAACTTGTATCTTGTATCATCTTAACCATCCTGATACATACATTTAAACAATAATATTTAATTCTCAATCGCTCTGTGTCAAACTGTATCTGAAGCAGGTGTATTGGTACCTTTGATGTGGATGGTTTTGGCCTCGTCCAGAAGTCCAGATGAAGACGCTCCCATGGTCTCTCTGAGTGCAGACGGGTGGAGGTGCGTACACACAGGAAGCAGTGGTCGACATGACAGCTAAGTACATGTCAAAAACTCAACCCATTTCCTGTGGTTTTCTCAAACTACGCAGTGGGGGATTTTTTTTTTTTTAAATCTCCAAGTAAACATCTTATGCGAATATTATCACAGGCTGGGAAAGAGCACTCCTATAGTAGAGAGCAATAGCAAAGATGAGCAAAAGAAAAGTTTGTTTACTGGCAAAAAACATGCGTGATGCAAATATTAATCTTTTTTCAACATTTCTTAAAAAAAAAAGCCTCTTTCCCACACAGTTGTCTTGATTCTTGAACATGAACCCAATCTATCACGATCAAGTATTTGTGTTTTCTGATGGTACATAGCTTATTTCAATGCCAGTTACTGCAAAATAGTTCATGCATTTTATATACATTTTATTAAAGTCTAATAATTCACTTATCTGCAATGCAAGAAATGTTTGTTTGTATAACACAGTTCATACACAAAGCAAACAATACATTACATAAATAAATAATATGAATAAGAGTCTGAACTAAACATGGGGACACAGCATTTCAGATTTATGCAGCTAAAATCAGGAACAGTCTTCTCTGACAATGTTCAAATCCAGGTTAAAACAGTCCAGCTGTGCATACAACTGAGGGATTTTATCTTTACCATTTTTAATGCATGGTGATTATTTATTATTTATTTATTTTTTCTATTTCGTTTTGTTCAGAACTTTGATTTGTCTTGTGTATAAACTGTGCTCTACAAATAAACATACCTTGCCTATACCAAAATTACCCTGTTGTTTTGCATGCGGCCGCAAATTGGGTTTTTTTTCTGCCAAATGAGAACAAAAGAAAATCATTTACCATACAAAACGTTTTCCTTTGCTCTCAATGGTTTTCTTCTCTGACCAATGAGAGCCAACAGGCTTCACCACGGCCCAGCTCAGAGGGAGAGATGACTGCTGGACTGGGACCTGGCTCAGAGCGCCTTTGGACCAGGGCCACTGCACATCTCTCCCCTCCTCAGCACAACACACAGCATATTCACAGCCATTACATCATTTCGTCTTCAAAGAGGCTTAATTTACCATTTCATTATTATTTATTAAGTGGACGTATTGCAGCTCTTCAATTGGACTAAACCACACGTGCGCAACGGACTACTTTTTACGGGTAAAGATGACGCGCGGATTGTTATTACTGCTGATAAGTTGTGTATTAAGAGGAACAAGTGGTGGAGAAGGAGGGGGTGCATCGTTGCTTGAGATGCAAAGTCAAGGAGCGGGAGTCACGCAGGATGAGCAGCCGGGAAAGGTGCTCACGGTGACCGGCGGAACTGTGGTGCGCGCGGAGGCGAAGGGGCAGATACCGACCTCCGCCCCGCTGGAGGAGGAGATGGACAACCAGGAGAACATCATCAGCCAGGTCAGTGCTGAAACAAAGTTATTCCATTTAATATATATTTTAATGCCAACTGAATTTGGGTTAAAACTTCCCCATAAAAACTACCTTCTTATAACATAAATACACGTGCGTCATTGTGCGTTACTTTCATTTTGACGATGCCCATCTTCTTCCGCTGATTAACTAGCTTGCCCCCTGAAGCTAATTTAGCACAGAATAGAATATTTATGAAACTTCCCATTTGACCACCAACGTTTTTTTGGTAATGTTAAATTATTTGAAGCTAACTGAGTAACAGATTCTGCTGTGCTGGTCCTCCTTGTGATAGATCCACGTTGTCCTCGCGCCTGTTGAACTGATGCTAAGCTAGCTACATTGCCATTATATTTTTTCCATTTGTGAGTACATTTATTCTTACAACAGCTCAATGACACATGGTGATTTCTTGTGCTAACTTTACACATGCACATGTGGTGATAAGTTTCCTTTGCTAACATGATTGATTTTCCATTAATTAATGTTAATGCCACACGTGCGTTGTTCTAGAGTGGCGCCATTTTGTAATTCGGAAAGCACTGGTTGTAATTACATAATGCCATGCTGTATTAACAACATCAGAAAGTTCAATGCTTTTGTTTTATTTTGCAGGGCGTTTTTTATTTTGTAGGTTTATTTAGTAAGAACATTGCATTTGAAACAAAGCTGGTGGAGGTCATTTGACAAGGTTTAGAGTTTAGTGTCAGCTCAGTGTCAACTTTCCATTTTATGTGGAGCCAAAATGTTGGGGCTTTCCACCAGTTTTGACCCCAGTTCAGGACCTCTTTTTCCATGATGGAATCTAATGTCGCTGATTTAGACTCAGCACTTTTCTGCAAATAGCTAAGAATACTTTCTTTGAACAGTCTCCAGACCTCAGTGAGTCAGCTGGACGATGTCATAATTTTGCTGCACACAGTTGAATGTTTTATGATTGGAACCGTCTTCCTGGTGGCTGGTTATGACATTTTCAAAGTGTGTTCCAAACTCAAATGGGGATAGGTTGGTTGATAGAGTCTGCAGTTTTTATTTGTGATAGAGAACAGTGAAAGAAAATCACATTTTCACAAATGATTAGTTCAATTAATGTAATTTTATATATGAATTTGTAATAATCTTGTGTGTATGTGTCTCTTTGTTTGCTCAATGGAACGAATTTGATTTTGATTAAGTTTTTGTACGTATTATCAATTAACTAAAAGCTCCATTTGCTCCTTTTAATAAATGTATGGATTTGTATGTATACTCTTTGCTGCTGAAGTACAATATCAAGCATTTGTTAAAACCTCATGACTGCTGCTAACTACAGTGTGTACCATATTAGTGACTTATCCTTGAACCTGGAATTATACTTCCAGAGTTTTATTTCATTATTGCATTATCTATTATGTTAAATCATAGATCCTATTTGATGTGTGCAACCTGACGTGCTCTTATTTTCTCCTTATATTCTGCTGTAATGTGCACAAGATGGAACATTGCAAGCACAGTATGCAATAATCCTTTAACCCTTGTATTATGTTAAGGGTCAATTTGACCCATTTCAGTTTTTGTGTTGATCAAAGTACTAGTTATCCTTTCTTTTTCTTGCTAAAATTTGGTGACTTTTCCTCATCTAGGGTCATGAACTGGTGTGTAAAATCTGGACACTTTGATATGTAGTGGAATGTCTGTGCAGAGTTTTTTTACAAAGATGATGTTGCGGGTCATTTTGACCCAGACGCTTTAATGTGGGTAAATAGTTGTTAATATCCAAAAAAACCTGTCTCTTTGACATTGTATTTTGATTGCCTCTGAGACCCAGAGCCAGGTGTGTGAAGAGAGGGAACTTTCTCACACTTGTCCTTGTCACTGTTCTCATGTCATCTCTTTTGCCTAGCGTACATCGTACTGGTAACTGATTATATCCGTTGCCTTTGAGTTGCTGCCCCGCACACAGCGACAATGTGGCGAAAACGGGCAACTCCTAGTAGCAGACCAGTCTCTGGAATAACAGCGCGTACATCGACAGCAACTGGCCTCAACTACAGTGTGTTTTCTGACATAAACTGTAGAGGGCGCAATACACACAATACACACATGTTGTTGGAGCACATCGGGTCATATCTCCGGATCTGAGGACAACTAGTTGCCGAAAAGTAGAACACGGGCGACTGACTGAAACTGGAGATTGACTGTTTATCTCCAGTTGTAAGAGCGCTCACATCGACCGATTTCGGCATCTGATCATCTCCCATCATCTACTCTCAGTTGCCAAAAGCCGTCTTGAAACGAGTCGTCTCCAGTTACTCTGTCAATGTACACTAGGCTTTAGACAAACTCACCAAAAATGAGCTCCAGAAGGATGACAACATCTGAGGAGGCTTTATCACAGATTTTTAACTGGGATAGTGATGTAGAGGAAGAGATTTCAGAAACAGAGGATTTTTCAGAGACAGAGGACAGTGTTATTGCTGATCCAGATTGTCAATTTTCCTACGATAAGGAGGATTCAGAGGATGAATCTTTGGTCAAGGAAGGAGGATGGGAGGAATGAAGTAAGGTAGGAAGGAAAGAAGGGAGAAAGGAAGGAAGGAAGGAAGAGAAAAGAAGGGAATAGAGGAGGATGAACAGAGAGAAGGAAAACAGGATGAGAAGACGGAAGGAGAAAGCATGGCAGGAGGAAAGAAGGAGGGAAGAATTGTCATTTTGACCCGAGAGGAGGACAAGAGGATTAGACTAAATCTTTCTTAAATATAGCGTTGGAATTAAAAATGTATTGTATGTCACTTTTCTAAATATTTATATAATCTAAAATAAAGTTGTTATTGGTTTAACCTGTTTTCTTGACTGTTTTGAGTGCAATTACACAGTACAGGTCAAAATGACCCGCAACATAATCAATGTCATTTTTTTTCAACATAATACAAGGGTTAACAGAGCTGCAGCCAGGGAATCCCCAGTAAAACATGCACCAGTGCACCTTTGATTTTAAAATGTTTAACTTGTCTGACGGCTGATTACTCCAGTTGAAAAGTAGTGTTGCTTTGTTGCAGTTGCTGGGAGATTACGACAAAGTGAGAACGATATCATCTGGCTCAGACTGTGTTTGCCGCTGCATCGTTCGACCAATCAGACGCTCCGATTGCAGCCGCATGCAGGACAGTGACAGTGGAGCGCAGGTCCGGGACACGTACAGTGTGGAGACAGTGACCGAAGGTAAAGACTGTAAACGCTGTGAGTGTTTGGCCCCGCCCTCCGCTGTGAACCCATGTGAAGGAGACTATCGCTTTAAGAAGCTCCAGGAGGCCAGCAAGGATGACATCAAGGTGAGATCAAGTGTGAACTGCAGACTTTTTTTGTCAAACATGTTTATTTTTAAGGCAAAGTTAGCATTACCCAGCCCTAATGATCCAATGTGTAATTTTTTCATTCATTTAGCTTGCCACCATAATAGATCTGCTTGAAGGGTCCTTATACGGCATGGACTTGTTAAAGTTGAATTCTGTGACCACTAAACTGCTGACCAGAGTCAACAAACTTGAGAAAGTAAGGGATTCTTTCAATAAAAGTACATTTTTTATGGTTTTATTCTACAGTATTGTCAGTGCAATGTTAGCAGTTGGTAATTGTTAACTATTCTCAGACCTTTGCTGGTAACTTGGCTGAAAAATTAAAAGAGAAGGAACGAATAAAGGAAAAAGAAAAGAAGTCTCAACAGAGAAAGAAGAAAGTGAATGATTTGGAGAGAGTGGGTCAGAGGAGTGGATCTTCCAGCGCCAACAAACAGGTAACAAGTCTATCCATCTTTCAATTGATTAAACCCATTCATTTATATTTATTGTATTTTATGGTTCATGCAGAAATCATCTGAATCGGAAGAAACACACACAAAAAATAACACAAAGATTCTAAAAACATTTCAAGATAAACTAGAGACAAAGTCAACAAGCACGGACAAGAACATCATGGTTGTGAAAGGCGTCACTTTTTATAAATCTGAAGAGACTGAACCAACCATTGAGAAAGAGCAGACCAGGAATCCCAAAGGAAGAAGTAGTAAGACTTAAGGATGACTTTTTAATGTAATTTATAGATCTCTTTTGGAAAATGTGTTGACTTTTGATTCTTTGTTTCAGTCGACTTGCTGATATCCGATGAGCTTCCTCCGACACGCCCTGGCATTTCTACTGTGACTGCTAAAACACATTTTCAAGATGTTACTATTGCTGCCACTCAGACGACCACCACTACAGCCAAATTAGTCCCAACGAACGATACACAGAGAACCACAGCCTCCTCTTCTCGTGTTGATGCAGGGCCGTCCATTTTTGCACCACAGCCGGGTGCGAAACCTCGTCTGAGCTGGACTGAGAGCTCTGCGGATCAGCCCAAGCCCACCAAGAAACCTGGTAACTAGAATATATGCATCTATTTTTATTTGTACAGAAACACAAGTTGATTACACACAGCTTGTGCAACAAACTTTGATACAAAAGAGAAAAAACGGGCATAATAATATTATTTGTCCATGTTAAAGTTGTTTTTACATTATTGTTTTTGAAGTGATTTTTGCTTATTTGAGTAATTTACAGTATTTTCTGAGGTCATATTTCTCTTTGCTGGCCCATTGTTTTGTTTCACCAATTAAATTTTCTGGATCTTTGGTAATAGGAGGATTCAGCAGCATTTTTACTGCTGCCAAATAAAGGGGCATATTAAGAAAGATATCACTATATATTTGACAGAAGCATGTTATACTAAGCAGATATAGATATATATCTATATAGATATAGATATATCTGCTTAACTTATAACTTCCATTCTCAATCCCTCTGTGATTATCATATTTGTCGTAGGTTTGTGTAAAGACACAGTGGCTAGTATTTCTGAACCTGCCCAGCACAACACATACGGTTCACCGGATGGAGCCTGGATGAGAGATGCGCGAGGCCACGGGAGTGTCATCTATTTGACAGATGGTCACTATGGCAACAATCTTCTGGAGTTCCGAGACATGGACACCTTTAAATCAGGTACTTAATTTACAACAAAGTTCTTTAACCTCAGACGCTGATATATGTACCGTAAAGGAAAGGGGACATTTCTTTAGACAAGGAAATGCAATAAGATAATTTTCCTTTGTCTTAAGATATTTGAATAGGGAATGGTCAACATGTTTTGCATTCCTAAACAATCAATGAAAGTGAGGGTTGAAGGGAGGCATGGCTTTTCTGCTCAAACATGCTTTCATAGCAAACACTCTGTGTGATCTTGTTGCGCAAGAATCCAGTCCAACAGCCAATAGAAGCGGCTCAAGCGCCTCTCAGCAGGCAGGCAAGCGGACAAAGGCAGCAGAGATAAGGCCCGCCCCCCTCCTGTCTTCTGTATGGCTCTCCTCGTTAGTATAGTGGTGAGTATCCCCGCCTGTCACGCGGGAGACCGGGGTTCGATTCCCCGACGGGGAGGCTTCTCTTTATACCTCATGACTTTACACATTCACATTTTAGCTAAATCTGCACTGCCACACTTAAAATATATGTATTCTGTGCTCGCTAGCTAGATGTCTCTACAGCTAAAGCTTTTTCTATATTGCGATAGCTGCCCTGCCTTTTGCAGACAATGCCACATCCTCAAATCAACAACCTATAACCAGAAGAGAAAAAGGCTTTATCTGACAAAGACTAAATAGTTAAATGAGTAGCACAGCACGGCGGCAACAGACAATAGGCTGTGACTCATGAATAGGTCTTTTGTTGTGGTCAATGTGTTGTGCAGATAGCCCTGAGGACTGTTGCCAGAGGTTGAGGCTTTTAGCAGCCTGTGTTTTTTACACACACAGAGGTCCTATTTTCTCTTTTTAAACACTTTCAGTAACGATAGCTTTAAAATCCTCGTATCAATCCGTGAATAGGTTCAAATGTCCAAGAGACACTCATGGTATTGTCTGAAAACCTCACAACTAGAAATTGTGAGTAGATAGCATAGTGCACAGTGTGAGTCCATTTCATACACAAAAAAGGGCAACAAAACACTAAAAAACATTGAAAACATACCATTACACCCATACTACACCCTTATTACACTATACATACAAAAACTAAAACAAATTTCTACATAACACACACAAAAAAACACACACACACTTTCAAAATATACATAAAAATAATTAAAAGGTCCCAGTATAAAAAATATGAAAAAGTGCAATTTATCTCCAACTTTTTAGTGCCTCAGACCGGTTTAATGTCAAATAATTATTAAAGCCGCAAGCGGCGATGAAAGGCCTCGCCACTCTTGCGACCGCCTCCTGGGCGCCAGTCCCACAAGCGTCACGCCGACGAATTGGCAGCCCGATCTGACCAGGATTACGTATATAAAATCTCATTAATATGATAAAGTGCGCCCCTAGTGGTCACCTCCGGGACATGCACCCTCTACGTAGAATAGTATTTTGCTCGTACAGATGTAAAGATTTGATTGTGCAACTTTAGTGAAGATCGGAAAAGTTTAGGTCAGAAGCCTTCCATAGGTGGCGCTGTAGAGTCATATTAGGTGTGTATTTTCACACCATTACTCTCAGGCCATTACCAACTGTTAGTGATGTGAGTTTTAGCTCTGTATGTCTGAGCCTGTGGTCAGGAGAGCATCAAACATGGAGGAAATTCCCCACCGCCTTGCATGAAAACAATGACAAAATTCTAACTTTTTTGCGATCATTGCATAACTTCAATCCGTCCAGATGGAGAAACGACATGGTAGAACTCTGTGCGATGAAAATCCAGGGACTAGTACAAAGCCAAAAACACGACACCTTGAACTGCCTGTAGGTGGCGCTGTTGCACTCACAGTTGTGTGTTGCATATCGTTGTGTTCAGGGTCATACGCTGTATTTCTGAATTCATTTTTAGCCTCATCGGACAAACATTTTGCCCCATTCATTCACTTTGCGCCGCCCCCAGTGGTCAGGTGTGGGACTTATGGTGCTTTCAGACCGGATCATGCGTTGCATTGGGTTTCAATGCAAAGTCAATGGTAGCGTGCGTTCGACCGTCACAACGCACGGACCTCTCCGCACTCACGAACGGACTGTTCAATAATGACGCACGGACTTGGCGGGAAAGTGAAAAAGGAGGAGCAGGAGCGAAAAATCAACGCCCACAGGAGATGGATTCTGCTCATCCTTTCCTTGCGACGTTCGTGCGACAACCAATCAGAGAGCAGCAAAGTGGTCACGGGGACATTAGCGGACTGAGCGAGCAGACTGAAAATACTCATAAACAGCCAAAACAGGACCCACACCAGGCTTCACCAGAACTCAAGCCAGGGTTGACAATGGGGGACTCTGTGCTTGTGAAAATATGCGTTGTCATGCTCCCGTGACCTTATGCAACGGCTTCGAGTGTGTTCGCCGATGCGGAAATTCCGTTTAATTATATGAAAAAGCGTATGGCGCACCTCCGTGAACACATACTACTTTTGCATAAAGCCCGTGGAATGTCTGTGAGCAAAGACACGCTGCAAAGCTGCATATTGGAGAAGATCTGTACACAAGAAGCCGCTAGCATAGCTCTGTTAGCATCAGAGCCGGCCGGCTACTTCCGGTACTTCCGGCTCGCGTCAGGACGTTCTGGTGTGAAGACCCCTGCTTCTGAAAACTAGAGAATGTGCGTCTGGTGAGCGGGGCTTCAGCGTTTCAGCGTTGGCGGTGTGAAAGCCCCGTTACAACTTTTTTGTAATGTAATCTTTTGCTCGTCTCGGTCCAGAGATTACACTCAGTAATTTTCGGGCCGATCCGAGCACCAGTGCCCTATTAGTTTCCGACAGGTGGCGCTAAAGAGCTCATATTGGGCGAATAATTTTAGTGTGATTGTGTTCAGGCCATAACCTAATATTACAGATGTGAGTCTCAGCTCTGTAGGTCTGAGCCTGTGGCCCTCAGGGCTCAGCGAAAACGGCCAAAACGAAGGCCTTATTCGCCATGACAAGAGACAAAAACGGTGAAGAATTTCTAGCTTTTTATTAATGATTGTATAACTTCAATCCATCCAGAGCGGGAAATGACGTGGTAGAACTCTGTGTGATGAAAAACCAGGGACTTGTTCGAAGTTATAAATGAAAAGTCAAATTAGCGGCGAAACTTCAGCCCATCATGGCCGACTTCCTGATGGTCCCAGACATGTGCTTAGACCGGCTTTTATGCTCGTCTCATAGAGATCTATCACTGATCTGAATTTCGTGTACCTACTCCAAAATATGCATTCCGGGCTCCCATAGGCTTTGAAAATTTGATATGTCCAGGGGGCGCTATCGTGGTGCCGTTTGTTAGTCAATCTCGAAACGTTCGTTTTATCAAATTTTTCGCCGAACCGGTCGATTTAGACGAAGATCGATGTGCAGACTTTCGTGCATGTCTTCAGGGTCAAAAATCAAATTTTTTCGGCGGTGAATTAAAGCCGCAAGCGGCGATGAAAGGCCTCGCCCCTCTTGCGACCGCCTCCTGGGCGCCAGTCCCACAAGCGCCACTCCGACGAATTGGCAGCCCGATCTGACCAGGATTACGTATATAAAAGCTCATTTATATGATAAAGTGCGTCCCTAGTGGTCACCTCCGGGACATGCACCCTCTACGTAGAGTAGTATTTTGCTCGTACAGATGTAAAGATTTGATTTTGCAACTTTGGTGAAGATCTGAAAAGTTTAGGTCAGAAGCCTTCCATAGGTAGTGATGTGAGTTTTAGCTCTGTAGGTCTGAGCCTGTGGTCAGGAGAGCATCAAACATGGAGAAATTCCCCACTGCCTCGCATGAAAACGATAACAAAATTCTAACTTTTTTGCGATGATTACATAACTCCAATCCGTCCAGATGGAGAAATGACATGGTAGAAGTCTGTGCGATGAAAATCCAGGGACTAGTACGAAGCCAAAAATGCGACAGCTTGAACTGCCTGTAGGTGGCGCTGTTGCACTCACAGTTGTGTGTTGCATATCGTTGTGTTCAGGGTCATACGCTGTATTTCTGAATTAATTTTTAGCCTCATCGGACAAACATTTTTCCCCAAAAAGCTCATTCATTCACTTTCCGGCGCCCCCAGTGGTCAGGTGTTATACTTACAACTTTTGCGTAATGTAATGTGTTGCTCGTCTCGGTCCAGAGAATACACTCAGCGATTTTCGGGCCGATCCGAACACTAGTGCCCTATTACTTTCCGACAGGTGGCGCTAAAGAGCTCATATTGGGCGAATGATTTTAGTGTCATTGCGTTCAGGCCATAACCTAATATTACTGATGTGAGTCTCAGCTCTGTAGGTCTGAGCCTGTGGCCCTCAGGGCTCAGCGAAAATGGCCAAAACGAAGGCCTTATTCGCCATGGCGAGGGACAAAAACGGTGAAGATTTTCTAACTTTTTTTTCGATGATTATATAACTTCAATCCGTCCAGATTAGGAAATGACGTGGTAGAACTCTGTGTGATGAAAAACCAGGGAATAGTTCGAAGTTATAAATGAAAAGTCAAATTAGCGGCGAAACTTCAGCGAATCATGGCCGACTTCCTGTTGGTCCCAGACATGTGCTTAGACCGGCTTTTATGCTCGTCTCATAGAGATCTATCACTCATCCGAATTTCGTGTACCTACTCCAAAATATGCATTCCTGTCTCCAATAGAAATGGAAAATTTTGCATTTTCAAGGGGGCGCTATTGATTTGCCTTTTGTTGGACAATCTCGAAACGTCCATTTTATCAAATGTTTCGCCGAACCGGTCGTTTTAGACCCCCCATGTGCAGACTTTCGTGCATGTCTTCAGGGTCAAAAATCGAATTGTTTTGGCGGAAAAAGAATAATAATATGAACAAATAACAATAGGCCTCCCCAATACTACGTATTGGCTCGGCCTAATAATAATATGAAACCAACGAATAACAATAGGCCTCCCCAATACGTAGTATTGGCTCGGCCTAATAACGTGGAACGGCACCCAAATGCACGAAAGACACTAAAACAAACTATTGTACCAAACTGCCGGATTGAGGATAGTCATAATAACAATGCGCTTCGAATCCCTGAGCCTTTACAAGATGCTGTGGAGTTTTGCAAGACAGCTGGAAACACTGATCCACAAACAGTTGGGTCCCATCGCTCCAACGCAGGGCCTTAAGCAGCATCCTTGTGCCATCATTCCTCTCTCTAGGCCTCAAGACCGACTCATAAAACCTTAGTGCATGCTCCTCTTTTTATAGTGTCTCCTTAAGTGTATGAAGGTGCAGAATGATTTTAAATGTTTAGTCTTAGCAGCTGCTGAGCATACTCTGCCCAAACTTCTGAACCTCCATATTGTACATCAAGCATCCGGCTCTGTCTGTAATTGTCTCTGTCTTTTTGGAAGGGATTGGATTAACATAAGCTTCGTCCAATTCCTTTTCAAACCAAATCAAGGGACATTTAGAACAGGTGTGCGATTAACAATGACATTAATGCGATTAATTGCGCTTAAATATTTGAATAGTTTGACAGCAGGGGTTTTATATATGTTTTGACTTTAATAACTTTCAATAGGTGGAATATAAATGCATTAATAGTGATATAATTTTGTTAAAATGTGATAAAGCGTTGGATAAGGAGCCAAAGGTGTATGATTTTTACTGAACCATATCAGCATGTAGCATATCACATGATACACATGATGTATGTTTAAGGCAATTCTACCAAATAAGAAAGCCCGTGCACTTTTGACTTCTCATAGTCTAATCTCTCCACTCTATTTGATTAATGACAATAAATTACACAATTAAAAGGTTTCAGTTGAAGGCCATTAAAACCAAGGTTGGAATGTCACCTCGCTGGTTAAGTTGAGTTATAAAATTCATCCCCTACATTGCACCCATCCTTCCAATGCCAGGTTGGTGGAAATGCATCGTAGGAGCATCTGGGCTGGTCTGGGGGGGTGACCAGAGATGATTTCAGAGTCCTGTAAATGGTTCTACACCTGTGGCAGGGTGATGCTGAAGTGATACTTCCTCTACGACACGACGGCTGCAGTTGTTGCATAACACACTCTAAATGGGACATAATTGTCTAAGCAGCTGTGTGTGTTTGTCCAGGGCAGTCCAGTAACTCATATAAGCTGCCGTATAGCTTCACCGGGACGGGGCACGTGGTCTTCGACGGGGCCTTCTTCTACAACCGAGCCTTCAGCCGCGACATCATCCGCTTCGACCTGCGGCGCAGATTTGTAGCTGCTTGGACCACACTGCATGACGCCCTCCTGGAGGAACAGGCCCACAGGACGCACTCTGAGGTAAGATTAATGAGGTTTCCAAACAATGAAAATGACTTATGACTGATACGGGCAAGTTTTAGGCACGCACAAAGGTAAAAGCTGTAAATCTGCAAAAGATTAAAAGGGGCACAAGAGCAGCCCTTTGGAAAAAAGTAGGATTTGTGGGTTTGCTCCATGTTCAGAGACAGTTTAACCACCGTAGATAACTTAACTCTTCCTCAGTTCAGATGCGGTAGATTAGCGACATTACTTTGATTTATTCTATGAATCTGAAGCTGCGAGGCAGGGGTGTTAAACTCATTTTAGTTTAGTATTGTATAAAAAGTATAGTTCTTTTAGAATACATTTATGCCAAGGGATGTAGTAGTGTAATAGCATCACTGTATTATCCAGTTGGTGGTAGAACGGGATAGAAAGGGAAGGGATTACTTAAAAAAAGGGGAGAACCAGACTTTTGTGCATTCTGTAAACTATTTTAATCATCTGCTGTTCTTCAATCTACTGATAAAATTATGTAAATATTTATGTCTGTTTTCTTCGGGGTTAAACTAATTTTGATGTGGTATAGTTTTAAGGTTGTGAAGCTGTATCTTTCTGAAGCGAATCGTTTGATAAAGACAAAAATCCGAGTGAAACTTAGGCCCAGTCCCATTTCTCTAACTTGTTCTGAGAACACTCGCTATGAGTTCCCTCCACAGTAGAGTCCCCTCAATGAGGGAAGTGCAAGTGAAGAATTTCCCCTAAGAATTGGGACATCACTAGTTTCAAAATTTCACCCCAGTCCAGTAGATGGCGGTAATACACATTGCCTGTACACCTCAGTAACGTCACGTGTTCTCCTGTGTCATGCATAAACAAGAGTCACAAGCAGCGGTGTATTTTCATCGAGTGTTTGTACAGGTTTGGAAATGCCGGCTCCAGTAGTTATTTTACCCATTGCGTGGGCGTTGATGACCTTTCTTCGTGTGGCCAACAAACGGAGAAGAAATGGGCAAAACCGAAGACGACTTCGCCGCTATTTTGCCCTGATTAATCTGTTTACGGTACGTGGACTCATTTATTATGACGCTATCCGTATGCTGCTAGCGTACTACCTGTTATTGGTTTCGATAAAATGCCAACTTACTTATAATGTATGTTAATTTTTTCACAAATGGGTACAGCCTTTGGGTCATTAACCGGTTACGCGATGAGAAAGTAAACAAACAGGAGAAAATTCCACCTCACACCTGAAGCTTACAAAACGTTCCCTGTATCCCCAAAACCCCATTTTTTTGTTTTTTTGAAGGAATGCCAACTCGCAGTTATGATCATATTTAAAAAAGAAAAAGACAACTGTGATGTATAATTGTCAGGATGCATAAAAAAACAGTAAAAGCTGTCTTTTATTTACTATGTTTATGTCTAAATGCTTGTTTTTTACCTATTGTGTTCCAGAGTGGCCGTGCACTAACCTACTGTAGGATGGACAGGAATGTACCCATCCTGCGCTTGTGGTTTGACGTGGAGTTGGAACTCATCCGGGACTTCAGACTGAGTAGGAAGGCCATGCATGCCCTGCAGTGTCTGCTGAGGAGAGAACAGGACCACGGCTGGGGCCATGAGCTAGAAGTTCTAATCTACGTTTACTGGCTTGCCCATGGTCTGTCCTACCGTGTGGTGTCACATGTTTTTAATATTCCCAGGTCCACCATCCATAGAATAGTCCACAAGGTTGCACAGTTTATTTGGGACAATTTGAACAGGGCAATATCATTTCCAAGCCCGGCAAATCTTGACACCGTGGGTCATGGATTTGAGCAACTTTCTGGGACACCCATCCTCAAAAAAGCTGTTGGTGCCATTGATGGTTGCCACATTCGGATCAAGCCCCCATCACTCCATAGACTGGACTATTTGAATTACAAAGGGTTCTACTCAATAAACATGCAGGCAATTTGTGACTCCTTGGGAAAGTTCCTTGATATTTTTGTGGGATATCCAGGGTCTGTTCATGACACACGCATTTTAAAGAGCAGCTCTTTTTACATTGCAAGAAGGTATCCTCCAACTGGGTACTTCATTCTGGGTGATGGAGGATACCCGTGTTTGGAAACCCCAGTCTGCCTCATTACTCCCTACAGGGAACCGGTGAATGGCAGAGCGCAACAGAGGTTCAACTACCACCAGTCAAAGGGGCGTTCAATTATTGAAAGAGCCTTTGGCATAATGAAAACTCGGTGGAGATCCACACTTTTCAAGGCCCTGGAAGTCAAGCCTACATTTGCACCCCAAGTAATAGCGTCCTGTGCCTTTCTGCATAATGTTTGCTTGGATAACGGAGACATCTTGGAGCCTGATCAGGATGTGGCCGGGGACAACATGGACCCAGAACTGCCGTTACAAGAACTCCCTGACCCAAATGTAACACCAGGGAATGCCACAAGGGACAGACTCGCTGGCCTGATTTGATAAACAAGGCCCTCACTGAAAAAAATCCTTGCAAAACTTGTAAATAGTTATGTTCAAGCACATATCTGACCTGTGTGTTATGTGGGTGTATATAGTTACTGTAAGTGTTGTATATTGTTGCTGTGGTTCATGTTTCTACATTTGATTAAACTTATTTTGTACAATACCTTGGTAGTTTGTTTTATAATGACGTGACATACTGTATGAATGTGTATGATGCCCGGTCAAAAAACAACCACCAAGCACTTTGATTTATATAAATATTTGTATTCAGAAAGATGAACTCACATTTGACATAACTAAAACAATGTATAGAAAAATATCACAAATATAGAACAATATTTGAATTAAATAAAAAAAACATCAAAATAAGCTTAAAAGAAACGTATTGCACATGAACATGAACGAGGGAAAACCACCACAGCTCTCACTGCTCAGGCATTTTCTCCACAAGCTTTTCGAACAAACTGAGGAACCTCTCTGTTTTGGACTCAGTTTCCTCGTGCCTTTTTTGCTCCTTCACAGACTCTTGTTTGAAGAACTCAAGGACAGCATTATTGACTCTTCTAGCCCTTTTTTTGGGAGATGGGGTGGTGGGTGCTTTAGGACCTGGTGGGGAAGAAGTAGACGGGCCTGCCCGTGTGGCTGGCATCGGTGTTGGCGGGGCTGTGTCTGCAGTAGTGGAAGATGGATCCGGCTCCTCCATGGGAGGTTCAACAATGGCCTAGAGATTTGAATAACAAAAATAAATTAATGCATGCTGAAGTCACAGCACAACAACAACTTTGTATAGACCTTTATGCTCTGTGATATACTAGTGTATTTTAAGAAAGTTATTGGTCAATTCAATTCCTCCTCCTGTAAACTTACCATTAGTAATTCTGTCGGACCAGGTTGGGTAAATGAAGCTACCAATACTGGTGGGTCAATAGATGGCCTGCCCCCCAGAACTGCATGCATGTCCTCGTAGAACTTCCAGTTGGATGCCGTTTGCTCCCCATCTGCTGTGCCTGATCCTGTCTTGGGCAATTTCAGCATCTGCAATAACAACCACCCCAAACACACAAACACAGTCACATAAAACAGTTATTAATTAATTATGTGACATCTGACGGGATGGGTTATTTAGCCTAGATGATGAAGATGATAACATGGGACATGGGATAACATTACCTTGTACTTCGTTTTCAAGTTTTCCCACTTTTTTGCTGCTTGTTGGCCATTGATTTTACCCGTCAGGCCGATCTCAATGACTGCTGTCCTATAGGGATGAACATAAGGGTGGGTTAATGCATTATCAGAATGTGACTGTTAAACAGCAGGTTAGGCTACTCACTCCCAGAGTTGCTTTGTGGTATACTTCTTTTTTGTGAACTGCTCTTCATTGTCAGCCCTGAACTTAATTAGGGCTTTGGTCTGCTCCACAGTCCCTGAAACATTAGCCCACATGACCACATTAGACACAAGTTGCTCGCCAATAGGTTGCATTCATGTGCTAGAATTCTTTTTCAGGTGGAGGGCAGGGGCCAATTGGGAGACAGACAGTTTTTGAAGGAAATTTCCAAAAAGAAAATTTGCAAATTTAAATTACTTGTGAATTATTTGATAGTGAATGGATGCACAAACCTCACATATTATTCTAATGGCTGTAAGAGCTTTCTGTTGGCCAGCATCACACATATGCTTTTGAATACTGTCTCCACTTATTTATGAGAAGATAATTATAGCTTATTTCATATGTGCTGACACATGACATAAGACATTGGACTTTTCACTATATAACAATATTGCTCATGAAACAAGCTGAAAAATCATGCCTTTTGACAATAGTCAGCACGGAATGCTACCTTCCCTCCACCTCAATTGATAGGCTTGTCCACAATCTATTGTGAATATTACAGGACGAAACAGTGTGCAGTAAACAAGCACGATGACAATTATGCATCCCAGCTATGCTAGTGACCGCGGATATAAACGCATGACTCCTTAAGATAGAAATGGGGATAATTTTGTTAAAAGCTGTCATGCATAATCATCCTACTTTACGTGTCTAGAAATAAAAATAGCTGTCTCGGTAGATTTGTGCAATGTGAAAATTAGCGATTTTGCAAAATTCATGTTTTAACACAGCGGTACAGAATTCAATTGTATTTACGTCTAACTAATATATCCCAACATATTTTTTGGAAAACGTGTGCTTAATTGTAAAACTATACTTACATTTGTGCGATTCTTTGCCACCGCCTGCCGCCATCTTTCTTTTCGCCGTATGAGTTTGCAAAGAATTCTGGGAAGCCACTTCGTCCCAAGTCAGGTCCGGACCTCCCTCCGTCTGAAGGGATCATTTCAAGGGTTGAAGTGCACTTCTCCCTAGGTCTTCAAAGTATTGGGACACACTACCCTTAAACGTGAACGCGCATAACCGAGTGCTAGGGTCTAAAACGAGTGCAAGTGAGAGAAATGGGACGGGGCCTTATTCTTACATCCCTACTAATGATCCTTTTAGATGTGTTAAAAGTTGTTCTCTATGTGTCTGTGTTTAAGGTGGAGTTGGCTGTGGACGAGTCGGGTTTGTGGGTGCTGTATCCTGCTCTGGACTCCGAAGGCTTTCACCAGGAAGTGCTACTGCTCACTCAGCTCCGTCCCCGAGACCTGCAGCCAATCCAGACCTTCCGCACGGGTCTTCGCCGTAGCCGTTATGGGAACAGCTTCCTGGTTTGTGGCGTGCTCTATGCAGTGGACAACATCCAGCAGCAGTACGCTAACGTGACATACGCCTTTGACACGCACACACTTACACACACCGTGCCGCTCTTAGCCTTCACAAGCACACACCTGCACACGGCTCAGCTCAGCTACTGCCCCCTGGATAAAAAACTGTACTCATGGGACAATGGCCACCAGATGATGTACGACGTCAACTTTGCCTATTAGACTGAGCACCTAATGACTGTGAATACAACTATGAATGTTTTTGACTGTGGAGAACTTGAACTGACACTCGCTGAATTGAAACTCACTCAGACTTAAGAGACCACATGGCTGTTTTTGAAGGGCCCATATCACGCTTTTTGACTTTTCTCTGCTTTAAACATCATTACAGTGCTATTTGGCCTTCATACACGTGCCCAAAGTAGTTTTTGTTCATTGATTCCCTCTAGCTTTAGTTAGAGAGGCAGCAAAATACCTCGGTTCACATCTATGAGCTCCAGAAGACCGCCTTCTGGAGGTGATTGACAGGTGAGAAACCAAAACAGTGAATCACAGCATAGCCTATCCAGAGTACTGTCTCGTGTCTATCACATAAAGTTCTTCTGTTTTCCTGATATTGTCAGCGACTAAAAATGTTAGCATCATGTCAATTTGTTTTTGGGTGTAAATATGTGACAACAACATTGGGCCCGAAGACGAAGCATGAGGTGAATGTGGCTGGACTTTTTTTTCATGGGGATATGCCTCCAAAATCCACGACGAATCTGTTCATCTGTGAGCGACACTTCACTAAAGACTGCTTTCAAAACTACAGCTCCCTTGATACTGGACTTACTCAAAAGCTGGTATGCTTGGACACATTATTAGCAAATGGTTTGATGAGTCTGATGTAGAATGGGACGATTGTACAGCACACAATAATCTGTGATGAATCAGTTAAAAACTCCCAGATGTTGATAATGCACATCATGCATGTGAAATCAAAAAGCAGCTGGAACTCATTACAATTTCGCCTCGGGCAAATGTGTGCGTTAACCATCGACCTGTTTAAAACAAAAACACTTATCTAGGCAGTATGCAGCACAAGCCAGGAGAGCGGGGCAGGTTTGCATCTGCTGTTCACTCGTAAAATATATATCTAAAATGATAAGATTAGATATACTTTATTGATCTCACACAGGAGAAATTGAAGTAAGAAATTGTGGTCGCTTCCAGTTTTAGATCTTGTAATGTGCATATTACAGATTAAGGAAATTTTTTAACTGTGAACATTTAAATAACAAAAAGAGCAATCATTTGTTAAGATACTGTACTTACATTCTGCTTATCCAACAGTCGTCTGCTTTTTCAATAAGGTTTTCTGGCAAACATTTGTCTCCTGCATGATTCACAATAATAAAAGGTAAACCCATACAGCAGACCGTTTTCATTTAAAAACATCTGGTTTGTGGAAATGCATCCAAGTGATCATGTTTTTAACTGCACATTTTGTAATCAGGGGAACAAATGTGAAGCAGTCACAAGGTGCTTTGACAAAGTTTGTCCTTCAAGCTGCTCATATTTGTCATTTTAATTTAAAATAAACTGCTTAATAATAATGGCAGATTCGTCTTGTACCCAGCCAAAAGCAAGCATTATTTTTAACCTGTGTGTATAGATGACCAGCACGCACCCCTAATGGCTCATCACCGAGGCATTTCTATAAAAGTTGTGAAATATTTTTGATTTATTGTCATGAGAGAGGTATTAAAAGGCATGAAGCAGGAATCTAGGTTTCCTCCAGGTGCTGTACAAAAGGTCTGGTATGCCCCTCTTGTATGGCGACCCCTCTCCTCCCATCACGTCTGGAGTGAGAGGAGAAAATGTCCACAATTGCAAAACGCTTTGTGATTAACTGCGAAAGGGGCCATAGAAATAAAGATTTGACTTACACTCACCTCCCACCAAGACAGGACACAGGTCCAATCACTCTCTGACCCTACAGCTCTCATATCACTCTGCACAGAAGGCATCACTCTCTTCCACTTCTCCACATACTTCTTGTTTGAATTGTTTTTGTGTTTTTTTTTTCACTTAATGAAGGTCCAACTTCTTTTAAGTAGGTAAGGCAAGTTTATTTGTAGAGCAGAGTTCATACACAATGCTAAATTAAGTGCACAAAAGATTCTTCTGCTAATCCATTCTAAAGTTCCATACCGCGATAGTTAAACATCAAAAGTAGTTCAACATCTAGCCATACTATGTTTCATTATTGTGCCCATTGTTCACACACTTGTATAGTGAAAACCCATGGTTATAAAGGTATTTGGTTCTTCTATACCAGACAGTAGTAAGTTAGTGATGTGGTTACTGTACTGTCTAAGTATACAGTCAAAACATGTCAAGGTAATAACATCCTTATAACTTACTATTGTCTGGTATAGAAGAACCATAAACCTTTAGTTCTACAAAGAGGACAAGATGACCCTTCCTAAACCTATGGGTACATTCCAGTATATTCCCCGTAATAATTTAATTTACACATTAATCCGTTTCACGTTAAGTAGAAAACCAATCCTTAAAGACGCTGACTTGCCAGGTGAAGCAGAGGGGTCCAAAAGGTGCGGTGTAACTCAGGGAATGGTTTTTATTAGGCGTGTGATGTGGCGGGGCGTCTTGACCATTGACTGGATCCTGACATGTGTTTGCAAGTGACCCGCGGAGAGCACTTAACCCTGCGCCGGGAAAACACACGTCACCACTTAGACTTGTGAGGGTTTAGTCTGTCTTCTCTAAACGACTCCTGGGATGTACTCACAGTTCGGCAGAAAGGTTTAGCTAAATACTCAAATTTCACTGAGTTTGGGCTATTTATTTAAGAGACATTGTTTCATACATTTTCTTCCATTTTATCCCAGGTTGAAAAAGGCAAATGAGATGGTAGAATGCCTTGACACCTTAAAACGTGAATTAAAGGAGACGTCTTATTCTTGAGGGGCTGGTGCTCTGTGACTGGGTGCAGCTCTGACTGCCACCCCCCGACCCAGAAATGGATTAAGGGGAAGAAGATGGATGGATGGATGGTCTTATTCTTCAGCATCAAATGTTTTACTATTTGACCTTATCAAAAACATACCTTACGTTTTAACTCCATCCATGTTAATAATAATAATAATAATGCATCAGTTTTATGTCCTTGCATGCGACCTTTGTGTAATTCATGAAATGTGCTGTGTTCTTAGTGCACTTGTATATGTAGTAATTTTAAGAAGATATTTGCCTTTACCTTTTTACCCTTACAACTTGATTGCACTTTGAGCCAAAGCACATTCCTAGTTTTAGACTTCCTGTGTACTTACAATGGCAATAAAAATAATTCTGATTTTGATTCTGATAATGGAACCTCCCCTACCTAAGTATTATCTTCCAAAATTGATACAGAAATGCATATTATACGTTTTTCTTTATTGTTCCACAAGCCTCATTTGACTAATATGCAGTATATTTATGGGGGTCACTGCAAATTGTTCCCAACTTGCGGCCATAGTGAAAAGCCAGATCCCATCAGACCTCTGAAGCTAAGCATGGCAGGCCCTCGTTAGTATTGTGATGGGAACATCGTGTGCCACAGAGGGGTGCCTATAAATTTCCAAAACGTTGTTAGGTAAGACATTTGGCACACATTGCCTAGAAGGAGTCTGGTGTGTATGAATGGCAGTTGGCACATACTGGTTGCCTCGCTATTGAGTTGTGGCTGCAATAGTTTATCCCCACCATGTATGTAGTGAATTAATAAAGTCATGTGAAGCGCTTTTGAGTGTCCAGACGAACACTATATAAACCAATGTATAATTACCGAGGTATAATAGAGCAACAAAAGCACTCTACTGTAATTTAATACTAATATTTTGATTTCTTATTGGCTGGGTCAGTCCTGTTACTTTTTAACTGTACCCTACACACATTTTCTCACATAGACTAAACACACTTTCTTGACCTGTTTCTATACGCTTAGCCCCATACGCTGACTTGGCTACGTTCTGGAAAGATTTACAAGTTGTTTTTGAATCTATTACCATGGGAATGCATTGTGTCTGCATGCGCCTCTCGTCCCGGGCGCGTGTGACCACCTTAGAGCGCTGCAGTAAAAAGCCCCTCATTCACTCCTCACTCTGCTCAGGGCAAATACGAAGACGCCAGTGTCGTGTTTGTGAAGGCAAAATTATATGACCACCCAAGAACACTCAGGCCAGTGTGGGGAAGCAGAGCAGACAGGAAAAACTGAACTGGCTAGCAACTGTAATGCTTAAATTTGCACTTTTTCCACTTTGCCGTGCCATGAAATATAGCATGTGAACTATAAGCAGTTATGTAATCTTTCAGGACACTGCTGGACACTTTATATATTTATACTGTATTATGTCTGCACTGTAAGACATGTATTGTTATTTATTGGGAAACTCGCAAACTGTCCTGAGGTGAAGTGATTGAGGACCAAAAATCTGGTAATGCAAAAATACGGATTTAATCCAGAAAATGAAAGTCAAGGGTAAAAAAAATTCTAAAATCCAAACGAAACTCAGGAACATAAGGCAATGGACCAGCAACAAGGAGACAGGAGCACAGGTACATATACACACAGAAAGACACAGGGCAGGGCAGACAATCAAGACAGGGGAACAAACTAGGAAGTAAAACTAAAACCGAACCAACTGATGTCAAAATAAAACCAAAATAACACAAAATCCACACTATGACACAAACTATTTGCTTTTGCATAATGGTACACATAATAAAGCAAATCTCAGTCGACCTTTTTATATATATCCAGATATTCTGTTTTACTTTCATGTAGATCTTCTCTAGAGCAGTATGTTTTGGGGCTGTCACTTGGCAACACAGTCGATCAACTCCTTCCGCAGATTTTCTTTTGGGTTGAGGTCTGGAGACTGGCTCGGTCTTGAAATGTTCTTACAGAGGCTCTTGGTCTGGGCGCTGTGGTTTGGATCATTGTCATGCTAGAAGACCCAGCCATGTTTGATCTTCATTACTGTCACTGATGGAAGATGTTTTTTGCCCAAAAGCTCACGATACAAGGCCCGATACATCCTTTCCTTAATACAGACGAGTCGTCCTATCGACTTTGCAGAAAAGCAGCCCCAAACCATAACGTTTCCACCCCCACTCTTCAAATCGGCTATGGTGTTCTCTTACGTACTCGCTGAGATCTTGTCCCATCCCTA